ATATATATATATATATATGTATATATATATATGTATATATATATATATGTATATATATATATATGTGTGTGTGTGTATATATATAGTCTAGACTTATGTTATAAATGTATTTTTATTATGCCTTTATGTATTAATAATTATGCTATTATAAATATAGGCCTAATAGTTAATACATAAAAATGTACATCATCATTGAGGGGAGGCATATTTTGTTCCTTATAACAGTAGAAGCAACAATCATGAAAAAAACTAAGAAATTGTACATTTGTAATTGGCTATATGTAAATGAAAACTGTCATATCAGAGAGTTAAAGCTCTTAGTACACAAAATACTGTGTAAACAAATAGGCCTTTTACAGGCTAAATATCACTCCTTTTGTTAAATACCAGATTGTGCTTCTAGTATACACTTGAAACAGTCAATGATCTCCTCCAATTCATTATTTTTTTTGTTTGGCAATTATTCTAAATTTGTCTTCTTCATCCAAAGCAGAATAATGCCTTCAACATTGGAGTTCTACACATTTGCTCGTCTGAAGTCCGCTAAGCAGGAAACTAGAAGCGATCACTGCAACTACAAGAGTGGTGCATCATTCTCAGGCAGACTAAAAGACAACAAGCGGACAGGGGTCGGAATCTTTCTATGGCCATCTGGGGACAAGTACGAGGGAGAGTACCTCGATAATGAACGTCATGGGAAGGGCAAACAGGGATGGAGTGATGGGTCATTCTATGAGGGAGATTTTGTAATGGACACCCGGCATGGAGAAGGTTACCATAAGTGGGCTAATGGGGAGGTAAATTGAACTTAATATCATTTAGTGAAAATATAATATAGAATCTTTAAATAGATTTTTAGTTGAATGCATAACTTTTAAAAGTTACTCTCTGTGTTGACCTAAAAATATATTTTTAATAAAACTAAGCTTTCAATTGAAAATTAACATTCATTTTCAGAGTTATGAAGGCTCATACTTTAAAGATCATCGTCATGGCAATGGAACATATACATGGCCAGGAGATTTAAAATTTGAAGGAAAGTTTTATATGGATAAAAAAGAAGGATATGGAATATTTACTTTTCCAAATGGAAGTGTTTTCAAGGTAAGCTACATTTATTATTTGCATCAATAATGAATTAATGCAAATTGATTCCTTTAATTTTCTTTAATACCCACAACCCCTGTACACTCTTTCTTTATCAGCGTGATGCAGTACACTTTGTAAAGTTCTAACAATTTCACCATCAAGTAGTTTCCTGATTGTTAATTTTTTTTTTGGTCATGAATTTGCTTGTTTATCTCACACTGTTGTCATTGTTTATTGTTTGTAAGGCAGCTTTGTCTGCATGATACCAACCATTTCTAAAAACTTTTTAAAAAGAAATTCTCCCTTTATTTTAGTTTTCTCCAAATTGCTTTCCAGGGCCTTTATAAAGAAGATGAACGTGAGGGACCAGGCATTATGACATACACAGACAAGACAGAGGAGATTGGGCTTTGGCAGAAAGAAAGACTAATAAAACTCACAAGTCAGATAGAGGGAGCTTTTAGCATGAAGGACCACCCTGAGTTTGATTACATTCCTGATGAAAATATGGTAACAGTTACTCAAGCAGATGAGAATCCTCAAAAGAACCATCATTTTAATTCTGGTGTTGATTTGAATGCTGTGATGGCACAGTTTTCAGATACAAGCCTTATGGCAAACTTAGAAGACGACATTCTAATAACGCAACCAGAAAGTGTTGATATGCGCACATTGCAATATGATAAGGAAGAATATGATGTAGCATTTTTTGGTGAATCTCAGACTGATGATGATCGGAAGTCATTTATCGCCGTCAATAACACACCTAGTCTTATTAATATGCTCAAGCATGTCCAGAAGCATAAGAGGCAGGAGTTATTTTCAGTTCAAGAGATCATGCAGGGTAGGTAGTTAATCAGTGGTATCCAAACATGAATGCAGGGTAGGTAGTTAATCAGTGGTATCCAAACATCATGCAGGGTAGGTAGTTAATCAGTGGTATCCAAACATCATGCAGGGTAGGTAGTTAATCAGTGGTATCCAAACATCATGCAGGGTAGGTAGTTAATCAGTGGTATCCAAACATGAATGCAGGGTAGGTAGTTAATCAGTGGTATCCAAACATGAATTCATTTTGTTCTCACACTAGAAGCACTAAAATTAGTGTCTATAGATGCCATTCCTATAAATTCATGATAGATTTTTGAGCCCAAAATTTGTTTAAAATGAAAAAAAAAAAAAAATATTGATCTCTCTTCCAATTGATATTATCATAAAAAAAGGTGTTATAATCCTCTTTTAACTGTATAATAGGTTTACTAAACGTATTCAGGAAGATGATCTTACCAAACACAATTTTGCCATATTTACACAGTCTTACAATGATAACCAAATAGTAATAATTATTAAATGAACAATTAAAATAAATAAATATTATTAATGTGGCAATTTCAAACAAGAACAATCAAATGAGCGGAGATTATAGAGTGGGGAGTAAATAAGATAAGATAAACATTGACATAACAGAAGAATATTCATTAAAAATAGAATAATTGAATAGTCATTGTTTAAGCACTCTCAACACTGTCAAATTTGTGATGTGACCATATATGGGGATAATGATATCATATTACACCCAAGTATGGGTATATCACATTGTCACATAAAATTTGGTCAGGGCTTAAAAGATTGAATATCAATAATGCACAATATCCTTAAATTTTAATCTAACACAGGCTATAAAGATTTTTAAGTAAATGATTAATTTAATATCATTCATAATCATTGCTACTGGTATTATATCTACAGGTAAAAGAGAAAATAGCAGTTGTAAAGGCCCAATAGAAATTGCTTCCAAAACCCTCATCCTTTCTGCAGCGTCGGGAGATTATGCAAAGGTGAATGCTCTATTGCAAAGCAACGAAGCAAATGTGAATGTGGCAGATAAAAATGGTCACCATGGTCTCATTGCGGCAGCGGTAATCTTATATTTTGTTTTTTGCTGTATATGTTTGCATGTATCCTCAATTTTCCTTACATAAAACCAGATATTCATATAATAATAGTAATAAAGCAGATGTACACTATCAGATTTTATGTCACTTAAAAAACAGTAACAGATCCAGAAGGCAATGAGAGGGCACTCGTAACCTTGTTAACAGCTAACAAATCTAACAAAACACGAATATCAGTATCACTAGATAAAAGATTGAATTTTGGGACTTCCAAGGCGCTAACTACTGAACCCCAACTCTAGCGAAGGGACACCACTCCCAAAACATCCCCCTTTGACCATAGGTCCCCGGCCCAAATGAAGCTTCACGCTATCCTTGCAAAAAACATCCTTGGTTATCCCCTGATACATTGCCTGATCAAACAATTATGTGTGTATTAAGACACACCTGACCTGTGAACAAGGCTTGTACAGGTCGATGTTCTATTTTCTCAGACATGTCTGATCAAACATAGATTATTAAGTTTATCAGACACACATATAGTGTGTGCCCAGCTTTATTCTACTGACAGATCTTGCATTTACTTTTTCTATTTTTAGGTAAATATGCATTGTGACATCATAAACTGTTTGTTAGACAATGGTGCTGATGTCAATAAATTGAATGATGAAGGAGTTTCAGCATTAGCTGCATGCCATGTGTTCTTCTACCCTTCTGAGTCCTTTCAGTACAACATCGCTGAGCGATATCTTCCAAAGCCAGAGGATGTGGTGGAACATGAAAGAATGATCATGGACCTTACAAACTCAAGTGCTACACCTGGCAATCTCACAAGAAGTGAATTTACAAACCAGACTCCAGGTCCAGCTGAAGATGACTTTGGTGAAGCAGAAATTGTACAGCCTGTTGAAGATGATGATGGTGATGATTTCCTGGAGGAAGAGTTGCCAGAGGAGCTCATGGACCCTTCTGGCTCTGTTGGTAGTAGAACTCCTGATGATCTTGAAACTATTGCTCATCCTAATAAGATTCGAGGTACAGAACTAAATGAGTTTAGCTCTAATAAGAGCCTAGTAAATTACAGTATTGAGGTTAAAGATGACTTTGTAGAACGTAGCGCTACAGTAATGAGTGGCAACCCAAAGATTGTGGCAGGAAGAACGTCTAAGTGTGCTGCCAAGGAGCCAGATATGGACCCGGCAAGATTATTAGCAATTTCCAAAGCAGAGTAAGAGTAACATGATTGATAAAATTTAAATAGAAATAAAATTATTACCACAAGGTTTAAATACTGTACTATTATATAATATCCAAAAATTAAACATCCTAAGACATAAAAATTATAACTTAGTCCCAAAGGTATAATTTATTCTACTATAATATTTTTTTATTTTTTTTATTTATTCAATTTCCAGGTAACATACAAAAATACAAACAAACAGTGGAGCACCCCGTGGATTGCCGAAAGTACATAAGTACTATCAGGCGGCTCTCCAATGCAACACCATTACACAAACATCTTATACACATCTAGATGTGTATAAGAGACAGGTCCAAGACTAACCTACAGTAAGCCTAACTATGAAAGGAGGTAGGCCTAGGGCCTAGCCTTCATCTGGGCTAGGTAGGTCTGGCATGTACCTGAAGGCATATTGGTAGTGGTACTACAGTACCTAGGGGCGGAGGTCTATTTTGATGAACTTTGCTACATACTCCGTCCAATTATGCAGTTATAAATACTGTTATATTTCCATGCAGAAAGAAAAATATTTGCAGTACCATATTTTAATATCATACACATTAAAAAAGAATATTGTTTTTCTGTATTTGTTGACACATCAAATATTTTAATCAACAATGTTATAAAATAAGGAATTTACAAGAGTAGCAAATATATTTTTTTAATATTGCATAAAATAATTAATTATGTTTATTATGATAGTTTAACAATAAATTACTTTTGGCTTCGAAACATAATCACGTCCAAACATAATTAACCACTGCTAATAGTATACTGTAGTTGTATCAGATGCAGCTGTAAGGCTTGTGCTTCCCAAAGACAGGGCGTGAGCAGTGGCAGCACCAGCTTTTCAATGTATCCTTGCCCCATATCACCTGAGACTGTAGTATAAGTGCACTACCATATCTTACCTAAATTCACTATTGTTTTCAGGCATTCTGTAATGGAATCAACAATCCGTCTGCTTTTGAAACGTGGAGCTGATCCAAATGCATCAAGAGTGCCGATGGCAGTGCTCTTCTTTGCCATCAAAGCAGCAGATGTAGGTGCTGTAAAGATACTGCTGGAGAAGGGAGCTTCCACAGAGACTCGATTGTCTGCAAAGGTAAGTTGTTTGGTGTGATGACCAATGTTTAATCTGGCAGATTAATTTTAGTTACACACACTGAGATGCAGTACTACAGTCCATGACCAGGTGTATCCTGGTACTAATGAAGCATTACTTTTAAACAAGGTGAATATATTTTCAAATTCAGCATTTTCAGCTGTTTAAAATGAAGTAATTGAAACAAAAAAGTTACATCATTCTTGTTTGTTAGCTTTCCACAGTGGCGGATCCAGGAATTTGAAATAGAGGGGGGCCCAGTGGGGATTGGAGAGTGTAGACCACCTCAGCCCCACCATGGTTGGGACTGAGGTAAGAATATTTATGATAATGGCACCTGATGATGGCCGGAAATGTCTCTCTCAGAGCTAAACTTGATTAAAATTTCAATTTTTTCTCAATTTTTAAAATAATTTTAAACATTTAAGGGGCCCTAGGCTGACTTGTCCCCCTCCCTTGAATCCGCCACTAGTGCATTGTTCAATAATATATTAAATGAATGATTGTGAGTTCTGTGAGTTCTGTGTGTCGTTAAAAGTATAAATGTTTGAACTAATTATAGGCTAACCTATTTCTCTTCTACAGAAAGAAGGCCTGAGCCCACTGCACATTTCATCTGCTATCAGAGGTAAAGCCGGTGTGGACATCACACGGTTACTACTTGAAGCAGGAGCTGAGCCCAATGTCCGGGCATATGATCATGACCTAGAAGATGAGGTAATTTGAGTTGTAAACAAATTTCTTGGTACTTGAAAATGATTTATTGACGATTAATAATTATAAAAAATATTGATGACCAAAAGCCCATCTGACCTGAAGTCTTTAAAATCTATGTTTGGCTTATTTTCTGGTGCAAATATTATTTAAGGAGGCGGCGAGAATATTTGTATGATGTTTCTGGAGGTCACTTTTCAAGCTTTAATTGCTTATCTTACTTATTATCTTAAAAATTTTATTTAATTTTGGGTTTCATTTCTGCTGGTACTATTTGTATACAAAAATGTATAGTTTGAGTGAACCCCTATAATTATAAATTTAAGGCTCATAATTATATATATAAAAAAAAAACTACAGCATTTTGATAAATTCATATTTTTTCACAGTCCTAAAGGTAACAAAAACCACCTGAAAAAGCCACAGTAGTCAGAAAGGCTTCTGTGGTGTATTAAATATATTCCATAGTCCTAACACGATGTTCCTGTCATTATTTAGTATAATTTTTTTCTATTAAAGGATGGGGAATTCAACCCAGTAAGCCCTACCAAATTGAAACCAGGCCTAGACAGCAGTGTGCTAGCTCTGTCAATGGAACTGCAGGCCTTGGGAGAAGAGAAAGGTGGTCGAACCCCCCTCCACATTGCATGCCAGAGAGATGATGATAACAAGGTTTGTATTCACCAGTAAATATTCAGTTTAACACAGTTCACAAATATTTCAATTATCAGCTTGTTTTTCTACATAGGTTATTTTCTGAGCACGTAAATTTCAATATGTCACTCCTTTCTATCATAAGCCCCACTGGCATCAACGTGTACAGTTTAAATTCTTTTAGGTAATGAATTAAAAATGCTTCCAAAATATGTTCAAGACTTCATTTTCATTTGTCAACCTACAATCCTATTTTACGATTTTCATCCAACAAATTAATAAAGACTTCATTCTTGCTGCACTGTATCTTTGGAACAAACTCCTCGTGAAGTTAGACAGGCTCCCTAGTTAAAAAATATTTAAGTCGGCTGCCAAAACACATATTTTCAATAATTCTTACACTGATTAAGTGCTGTGAGATCCTGCAGATGCATTGTGTATGTGTTTATAACACCTGTGTAATGAGTGCTGTATAAATGTTCATATTATCATCATCATCCTCATCATCACCGTCACCTTGAAAGTAATTTTTTGTAAATATTTATCTTATAGTGACCATAGTCATCTGTTGCAGACTGTTACATGTAAATAAAATCTATAATTTATATTTCAGCTTGCACAACAAGTTGTTAATCTTCTTTTGTTGCATGGCGCCAATCCCAATGTACTATGTAGAGGGCAGTCTCCATTATCACTAGCGATTGCATACGGTAATGACTTGGTAAGTTCTAAATATAATATTGGTAATACAACACTACTAATAATGTTATAGTATGCCTTATTATATTTTATTGATAGATAAAGTATAGTTATATATTTTTATATTTTTAAAGAGGGCCCCTAGACTTCAGCTGGCTTTTGGGTTCTTGTTGAAATTATTTAAAAAAATAAACATTTTCACTTTAATTGATTAATATAAATTTAAAATGCATGTAAATAACTGGCACAATATACTGGTTGCTGTCTTTCTTAAAAGAATAAATGTTCAATAGGACAGAATTCAAAACAACTTATTACTTTTTTTAACTATGAAAATGAACCTTTCCTCTAAGCCCCGCCCTGGGATATTGTTTCTAAAGTCCCACAAACTGACAGCATGAACGTACAGGTTGACATGTGTTTGTGAAATCCCATATTCCTGACCCTTTTTTTATTGTCAGTATAGATTTACACTCGTGCAAGTTTCACCGTGTAGCCAATTTAAATTGTCTATGCTAAGAAGAAGGCAACAATATTATTTAAACTATAATTGATGAGAAAATATTTTTTAAAATTTAAATATAAATCTAATAACTTACTTGTTTACTTACGCTACAAATCTGCAAATTCCAGAGTAGAGGCTACGCTATGTCTGTAAGCCCGGCTTGAAAATAATATCACTTTCTATTATACAATTTAGCAAATTTAATATAAAATGTTGCTGTTACACATAATAAAGTATATTTTCAATATAGTCTAAGGGTGGACATGTTTCTACTAAAAAATGTAAATGTTTCTCTAATCGTTGATTGATCATGGAGAGGTATATTAAGTGCACCACAAGAAATTGTGTTTAGCTTGCTGGACACAGAAAGTGGTGGCGCCAGGAGGGAGCAGGGGAAATCCCCCTTCCCTGTCAGACAGATCTGGACCCCCCTGTCGTCTGACGCCACGACTAGGTCATTGGAGTAAAAGTATATAATATAATAACTTGCTTATCCGAACATATTTTTTTATTGCTAATCCCTAATATTGTGGTCTTAAAGCACAATGTTGACCATACTAAGCCAAAAATATCTCCCCTGAACCTTACCTGGGATTCTTTATTCGTTCAGACCCCTCTGTCGCAAATGTCGAACCACTTGTCGGCAAATTTCTGGCACCACTGCTGGACACAAACTAGACTCATTGACGATAAAAAAAAAAGGGAAAAAAAATCAGTTTTCATGGATTCTGTTTTTACTGTAGTTTTTTCTTAGGTAGTAGAAACACACCCCTTGGTTGCATGTATTGATGGAATTTTTTTTATCTGGCTAGGCCATTGATGAGTTGCTGGCTTTCTCTGCTAACCCCAGCCTTCCTCTTGGACAAAGTATTGGCTCTGCACTGTGTGTGTCTTCCAATACAGTATTTGAATTCAGAAGGTCACCTCAGGACAGGATCAATCTGGTAGGAATGTATTGCTTTGTGGCTTCTGCATTCACCCTGTAATATCCAACATTACAGTACAACCCCTTTTAAGGGAAAACATTAGGGGCCAAAAAAAGTGTCCCCTGAATAGGAGTTGACCATAGTGTTAAAAGAAATGTCATTTGCAGCCAAAAAAGTGTCACTCTTAATAGGGGAATAGAGGTGTCCCCTTAGTAGGGGTGTGTCAATTCTAGGTGTTCTACTTATTGTTATTAAATCATCATCTTCATCATCAAAGACTTTGTCGTCTCCGTCTCCTCCACCGACGGCAATGTTGTTTTGCTATTTTTATTAATCATGCACAATGCACTCATATAATGTATTACTAAAATATTTTTAATATTTGCTTGTTATTACTGATATCTATAGATTTCAAAGTTGGTGAAGGCCGGTGCAAACATCTTAGCCCCTGTAGCAGTTGGAGCTAAAAAGCTGATGGGCACAGCAGTAGACTATGCTTATTGGGCCTTCAACCAGGTACAGTAATTCACATAACAGTCAGTGTTAAAGCTGGGCTAGTACACTGCTGATGGCTTGCACACCATTTGTCAGTCTTGTTCATTTCTAAAAACTATACATCGGGTGCATCTTGTGCTTTGATCTGGAATTGTTTAAAGCCGATGTATTGTGTGACCAGCTTTTGATGATAAACAGATTTTTCCACAAAACAAAACATATTCTCAGTTAGCTGGCTGGCTGTAGCCTCATATAGTATGAGAAGTGTGACACTTGTTTTGCTAGATATTGCTATCGTTGTAATGTATGAAATGCCAAAGTCACTCCTGTTTGTGTTTCATAACAAAGACACCTATCCTTGGTTGAACACTACAAGTGAGCAAGATTTATAAGTTCATATCAGAAAATTAATATTGACAATGCAAAGAATTTCAAAGTCGTCAGGATAAACATTTTATATACTGTACAATATTTTTTAAATAATAATAAATTAAATTATACATGACTGAAACAATTATTTATTCACAAATTAAATATTACATAATTTACATTTTCATGCTTTATACATGTACATTATAATTGTAAAATTAAAAACCATGGTATTAAATTAATACCATGTGCTTACAGTAGATTATCCATTACAAAACTGATGTTTCGGTATTATTTTATGTTGCAGGATAGACGTATCGCGCATATGCCATACCACGCCCTCACTCACACCGAGCGGGACACTTACAATGCACGCCGAAGACTCCTAGCTTATCTTGGTGACATCTTGCGTGAAGCATCTGTTCGTAAAGAGAAGGAGCGTCTTGTGTTGAATGAGAGGGATGGATTAAGAAGTAAGTGTTAGATTTTGATTTATTTTTTTCCTACGTTTACCTTTGCCTTTAATAAAATACTAGTGAAAACTTTGAACGGCCCAAGAAGTTTTGCAAAATATCTGACCTCAGTCTTGTTGAGTGTAACATACAGATACAGAAACATTTTAATTTGTTTTTGCAATTGTTTAGCCTAAACAAAGTGATCATTTTTATTCATAACTTATAGGTGTCAGTCCAAGTCATGGTTTTCTCTACACTGGAGCCGGTGCTCAGCCTACCGGAGATCGTAGGCCTAGTGGAAAGTACACCAGCAATCGCATCAGCCCAGTCAAAGGCTATGAAGGTGAACCAGGCCGACAAGTTGCATTTCGTACAATGACCAAAGATAATGTTGGGTGTGAGCAGCCCTTAGTGGATAGAGATGAGGAAGTGATCATAAGGTAAGTGAGGATCAAGGAACTTTTATATTAAAATTAAATTAAATTAAATTAAATTAATTAAATTATACCATTACTCTTGGGGATCATTACCAGGGGGAAAACACGGTTATCTACATGGGAGATTAAACCTAGCTATTAAAATGTTCTTGATTGATTTCAGGAGAGAAAGAACAATTCTGTGTCATAATATAAGTACCCTTACATTTTCAAGGGCAAATACTGTAAATACATGTCAATATAAAATGTTATTGTCCTATATATGAAGTGTTTGCCAAAACTATAAATCATTTTAATGCGTTATGATGAGAAATATACACATGACCCTGCATTGTGTACAGCCCAGTTGTCCCAGCTCAGATGTATGTGAAACAAGTTTATTTTCATACAGTGCAGTGTTAGGTTATGTGTAGAGTAGGTTTTTGGAATGTCTTGTTTTAAATTAGCAATCCAAATTGTTGAAAATTCAATTTATATGATCTGTGTATTCTAATGATGCATATAATGAACTTTTTTATTTTTCTAATTAATATTGTTTTTTTGCAAAGGGCCCCTTTAAGTGAGCATTGCTATCAGGGTCACCCTCATTAAATAAAATTGAATAATGTTACTGGTTGTAACATTTACATATGTGATTGTTGATCATTTAAATCTATGCTAGTCAAAGGAAATTTAAATCAAGGTATTATTTTTAAGTTGTGCAGTGCTTTGAATTATAACTCTAATTTTTTTTAATTTTTCATAAACCATGAAAATGCATTTGTCACAGAAAGTGGCGATAATAATAACAAGCACTTTCCTACTCCTGTAAATCTTTTGCAATACTGAAAAAAAATTACTGGCCCATAGATAATATTACAAGTAGTTGGCGTATATACACAGATCCTATGATCAGTAGTGCATACTAGCTGCAGGTAAAGCAGCTAGCCTGGTTCTCACCAGAGCCCTAGTATCCGAACCGGAGCTAACCGTTAGCGCTAACCGTTAGCACCTGCGTGAGAACACCCGATCGGTTATCGCTAATTGTTAGCGGTATCCGGATACCGCTAACAGTTAGCAAGCACTATTGGTTAGCAAGTTGAGTGCATTTTTATCATCAACCAATCACACATACGCGTTTACAATTTCCAGTTTTTTTAATTGGCCAGTGATTTGATCATCATATTTTTGGTATCCGGATCTGGATTTTCTCGTATGGATGCACGGCAGCTAATGGTTAGCAGGATCCGGATCCTGCCAACTGTTAGCAGCCGTGTGAGAACATAGCCTGAATGTATTTGCATGCTCTGTAGGGACACTTAACATCTAGGTAAACTTCAAATGCCCCATTTAGAGGAACTAGTAAACTTAATTAATCTTGAATTACATGAAATGATATGGACACTGTCCAGTGGGGTACAATCCAAGGACCATGTATAGAGAGATTCTGCAGTGTTTGTGTGTACTTGTTGCTTTGTATTTACAAATAGTTTGTTCCTAACCTTGCAGTGTTATTTTAATAATATACATAATTTTTTTTTTTTTTTTTTTTGCTGTTATTATTTAAGCTAATAATTATGTAAAAATTGTTAACCAGGATTTTTCTCACAGATAAAAATGAACCTGTAGGCTCTCTAGGCATCACACTTTATGTGATAAAGCATGCTGGGTTGTAGTCTGGCACAGTTTAAATAACAATAAAGTAAAAACATGCCATTTACAAAACAAATATAAGCACATGATTCTCAACAAAACTGAGCCTAATTATGGAGTAGTTTTTAGTTGTAAGAAAAAAATCCTATCACTTGGCATCTCTTAAACCCAGAATTTTTAATTGGAAGGCAAAAGCATCTTAAGTCATTCTCATCATATAATTGTTTAAGCACCCTCTATTGTTAACAGGAAGCCGTTGTTCAAGTACTGCTATGAGTGTGGTCGATCCCTTGGAGTGCGACTGTCTGCATGCACACGCTGTAAGGAAGTTTACTACTGCAGCAAGGCATGCAAGATTAAAGCGTGGAATGCAAGGCATAAAGAGGAATGTATCAGAGTTGGGGGTATGCCATTTCTAATAATTATAATTATAAAGTCAGTTGTGACATCATCACTGTTAATATTCCCAATCCTATTTTCCTATCCCAAACAGTGTACTAATTTTTTTCTAGTGCACAGTTTTTGCTTGACCTTTTTTCATTCATTAATCTAACATTCATATAATAATTTCCATTAGTATATGATACACAACTATACTAATTGCTTATTATGACGATGATAATAACGATATTGTTAATATTAATCATCATAGCGATAATAGATATGAACATAAAAGATGCATATTATTGTGAAATATTATTTATGTACCACAGCTCATTTACTCCTTGTAGTTATTATTTTACTTTGTGCTGGATGATCACTCATTATTATTATTATTATTATTATTACAGTATTGTGTTATCTCCAAAGGTCGTAGTAGAAGTCCAAGTCCAACAAGTAAAGCAGCAAGGAGGTCAATGGCCAACTCTTCAGACAGTTTGGCAACTGGTGGGGGTGATAGTGGAGCAGGCTCATCAAAACATCCTGGTGGTGGTAGAGGTGGTGGTGGTGGTGGTAGCAGAGGCAAAACAACTAAAGGCCAAATGATTAACCATAGAGGTCAAGGTGATAGTGTGAAAGGAAAATCTGGCATCAATGGTCTTGTAAAAAATAATAGACTTGTTGGTAAAAAAGGTGGTTATGGACTGAGAGGGATGACCTCTGACACTGACAGTCCTGCGAATAGCGACATCACAGAAAACTACAGTTTTAATTGAAGCAGTAATGATGAAGTTTTTTAGTATTAATATATTTAAAACCCTATCCTCAGCATGCCCTGTTGATTGTGAATGCAATGCTCTCATATGTCTAGACTGATTATGTATGCATGTAATGAAGACCACTTAAACTTGGCAATAACCTACCAAATTTTGTCCATCAGACTCAATGTTGATTGGACAAAATCTGATAAAGTAGAGAATTTCCAACTTGTAACAGACATGAGTTGATCAGAGGTATGCCTGAAACATGAAAGCATCGACTTTGAGGTCTGATGATTGGTCTGACATATAAAACTGACTTAAGCATGTACTTGTTTAGTAAGTCTGAAGCTGTGTTCACATTGGATTAATGTTACTTACCAAAAAGTCCAATGTGTACCGCCTGCATAAATGTTGTCCTTTGTACAATTACTGAAGTAACCTTTGCTCAATACTAACAGTGCGACTAGTAAATATTTGAGCATATGATACTGCATGTCATCAATAAACTTGATATAGTTGAGTATCCATGATAGTGTAGGAGTTGGTGTGAACACCAAATATAACACACACGGGCGGAGCCAGAAATGTCCAAAATGGGGGGCCAAAAGTTGGGCAGATCGAGACAACACAGTCATAGGGGGTCCAGAAATGTTTGTGTTCTAGACGCCCGAACATAACATTTGAGGAATTCTGGGCTATCTGGGATAGCCCATTCTGGGAGCCGGAACTGGGATGCCCCCCCCCCCATAAAAAAAATCCGCCCCTGACCCACAAAGACTTGTTTCGACTGGGGTCCTTTTGAAGGTGAATAGCTCTCTGTGGTTTATTGAAAATCCAAGTGCAAACAGCGGTACATTTTCACCAAGGTTAAGTTACCCTTCATCTTGGATAATGTTAATCTAATGGGAACTCGTCTTAGACAAAAATCTGATAGTGTGGTGGCATTAGATAACAAATATGATTTTAGTATGCGAATAGTGTAGAATTATGTGAAGCTGCATTGCATATATGTAGAACTCTAATGATCAATCATGTGTGTGAAATATAGTGTCTGCCAAAACTCAAAGTAATTAGAATATTGAATGATATATTTTGAAAAATCATTGAAGAACATTTTTTTGTATCTCTAATGAGCAATAATGCAGCCTTTTGTTTCCTTTTAAAATGTAGAGCTATTATTGTATGCAATTTCAATGTGTTTGCGTCAGGAAAGTCATAGGAGTGATGTTGCCCTACCCTCGTGTTATCGTACTGAATAAAACTTGCATTTGAAAGTGATTCAGGTAGTTAGTACACTCACGCCCTGAAAATTACCAGCCTGGTGTCATAACAACTAGACCACTGAAATTGCGCTTAGTGACTTTTGTTGAATCCGGTCCCCAAGTAGCAGCATGTACTGTATATGCTATTTCGATGCATGTTTGCATACGATAACACATCGGTTAGGGCAAAGCATCCTACAATATTACTGTATGGTTATGGATAGTGGATCATGAAGTAGTAAGTTTCTCTATTTTAATTGAACTTTGACAGGGGGATGACCTCCACCTCAAGTTTTCAACACAACAAATACCTTGACTGTTTTAAATAATTATTTTGCTATATTTTATATAAGGGTTTACATGATGAATAATGATCGTATCTTCCACACATTGTAACAATTATATTGTTATATGTATTTATGTACCTTATAATTTCAAAAGCTTCCAATGATTTTAGACTAACTTTCTTTTAAAAATATTAATATACATATATATAATTTTACATAAATATATTTATAATGATTCGGTTTCAACTTACTAGATCAGTCGTAAATGTAAGTACAGTTTTTGTGCATTATTCTGTCATCAAATGTGTAATGTATAACTTAAAGTTCTTTGTAAAAACTGTCAGAAGTCACTTATTGTTTCTATAGTTATAGTAAGGCTACTGATGGAGTGAATAATAACAATTGAACACGATATGAAGATTTATCTCAATTCAATTTATTTCACTTGCTTTGTCTTAACTTACTGTACATTATAGCAAATGGCGACACCGACCGTAAGCCGCAGCTTGTAAGTTATAGCACGCTTGAGAACTTAATTACACTTATAAAAGAAAAAGATTCAACACAGGACGACTTGGAGACCATTTTGGAAAACATACTAGTTATTCAACACGAGTGTACTTAAGTATGCTTTGAATGTGTGATTAAACTAACTTTTTTTTAATAGCTAATGTTGTAGGGTAATACCTGACTACTGTATAGAGGGCTTTTAATATATTGTAACGAATCTCCTTCGTCTGTCAGGATAATTAGGCCTATTTATGAGCGTCAGGGTTCGGCGGCGGTTGTACACCACCGACTTCACTAAACTAATCAAATAATACAGACACAATTTGAATTCACGATCCACGTGAGGCAAGTCAGTTTTTATTTCCAAAGCAACTATTCTAGTACTCACCCTTCATAGGGTCGTAGTATTCGTAAAGTAAACGTGCAACCTTGATGTAACAATGGAAGATCAATATTAACGGGAGTCTCTTCAGTACCGTATTCGTTTCAGGGCTATCAGGAACCAACTGAAGTCTCCCCCCATGTAGTGGGCTTATTTGCATAACTTTCCCATTCCCACAAGGGCCAATCAGAACGTGGCTTACAGCTGTCTAATTAATTGGGCTACCATCCCTCAGGGCTGTTCCAACAACTGGGGAGACATTTCGTTACAATATGTTACTTGGGAATATGGAACGTACGGAATTTGGTGATATTCCGGTGTTACGTGAGTGTGTTTTGCATACATTAGATATATGTTCCTCCAGAAGATGTTCGTCAATTGTGACCCCCTGGAATCTGGTCGTCACCACACGGTTGATGATAGGCCTAGAAACGTTTAAGAAAACATCACGAGTAAGGAATTGAGAGATTTACTAAATAACATATAGGCGGCAAGGCCTCCTATAGTGCATTTTTACCAAATTCAGAGTTGAACAATTTGGCGTTTATCCATTCAGACCTTATTGATTCCGTTGTTTACTATATTAAGTAGGGTGGCAGGGTTGCGATGGGAAAAAATAAATTTGAGTCGTCAGCAAACAGAATAAACGAAAGAAGCTTAGAAGAGTTACAAAATCATTAATAAAGAGAATAAAAGGTAAGGGTCCAATTATGCAAATAACAAACCATGGGTTTCTAAGGAGTTAGAATTATTAATGAGAGATAAATACTCAGAATTTAAGTAGGGCGAATTTAAAACTAGTAAACACCTTCAGCGGGAAGTGAAATGTGTAATTAGGAGAGATAAGCAATTACGCCAAACACATAGAAGGAAAATTTGAGTCTGGTGATATTCAAAATGTTTGGAAAGGAATGAATAAATTACCTGGAAATTTTAAAATTGCATCGAATGTTGAAGATATTACGGCTAACGATCTAAATTCTTTTTATGTTAGGTACGATAATTGGGATTTTTCGGAGATTCGCAACATTCAAAAGGAAAAACTCATAGGTTCAGTAAGAGATTAAGAAAATAATATTTTAATTAACTTAAGTGATGTGGAGAAAACACCTAGGAATGTTAAGTCCAAAAAAGCCGCAGGGTCTGATCTCATTTCAGGAAACACTGCGGAATCTGTGGGTGAGACAGTATTTATCAAAAATTTCTAAAAAGAGTAATGGATTATTAAAAATAACAAAGCCGGGAAGCTCCAGTGCATTGCATACCAACAACAGTAACACCAAACTATCTGTTGCTTAAAAATAGTTGTTTCCATTGAAAGTGATTATAAAAGGTTTCTGAAATATTTATCGTTGAATATGGATAGGCCTATCATCAATTTAGATTTAAATAAAAGATCAATTGATTCCACCCGGGCTCGAACCGGGGACCTTCTGCGCCAGATCAGTATAGGCTTATTTTATGAATTCTCGATTCTTTTTATATTTTTGACGTCTACCCATCTAATCCACGACGTAAAGCGCTTGTCCATTGATTTCATTTATTTAAAATATAACATTTACATTTTTTGGTAAAAATTTAGTATTTTCAATACCAAATAATGGTTTTTTCATTGTGCGCTAGACCTCTACATTTATTTCTTTTAATTTATGTTTAAATTTATTAAAGTTTTATTTACCTTGTTCCATAAATTTATATAGGCCTAGTCTATTGAAATATGCAATGAAATTCTGAAACACCACGTGGTTGGAAGCGGCACGTTTCACATCTAGGCTACGTGTACAGTATGTCCAATTTGTAGGGATTTATTTTACTCCGACCTCGATTTATTTACGGTTCTTAAAATTTTAATCATATTAATGAACGTTAACCCGTAGTATAATTAATGACATTTCCACGGTGTTTTTAATTAGATTGATTTAATTTTGTATAGATCAGATTCCTTAACATATCAAAGTTGATATTCATCGTTAGACCATCAACATTTTTGATAGACTACTACAGAAAATTTGAAAATAAGAACACTGAATAGTGTTTTCTCTCAAAACCAGTGGCGGATTGTTTTTAGCGTTTCTTTTTTACTTTGGAAGTCGGCCATTATCACACCAGTACCAAAACATGATAAAGCTATACCATCTGTAGGCCTAATGACTTTAGGCCAGTGGTATTAACTGCAATTCCAATGAAATGCTTAGAAAAATTATTTAAAAAAATTATTAATTTGTGAGACGAAGGGTATGATTGATAGTCATCAATTTGCTTACCGGGAAAAAGGGGAGTAGTTGATGCAGTTATGACTCTCACGCAGAAGGTGTATGCTCATCTTGATTATCCGAATAACTATGCTAGAATTTTTTTTTTTTTTAAGATTTCTCAGCAGCGTTTAATACGATTCAGCCCCATCTACTTACTGAGAAGTTATTAAATGTAGGAATAAACGCACGACTTAACCTTTGTATCTCTGACTTCCTATATGAAAGAACAAAGATTGTTAAATTTAGAGGTAGTGATCTATAAGTCATCGACTTGTAATACGGGGACACCACAAGGGTGCGTTTTGTCGACCTTGCACTTTTCGTTATACTCATCTGATTTTTACAGTAACATTGATCCAAGTAAATCATTAAATATTATGTTTGCTGACGACACTTGTCTAATTGTCCTAATATCAAAAAATGACACATCCTTGTTTAATGATTATGTTGAATCTTTTATTGTATGGTGTAAGGAGAATGTTCTTGTAATAATGCCAAGAAGACTAAGGAAGTTATTGTTGAATTCAGAAGGAAAAATAAAACTATTCACGAACATATTGTAATTGATAATGAGAATGTGGAAATTGTTGTACCTGGGATTGATTAATGGTAATGAACTTAACTGGAAAAACAATACTAAAGAACTCCGTACTAATGTAAATAAACAAGTGTATTTTGTATATAGAATAAAACGGTTTAATGTTAACTCTCATCTTATTTATTCATTTGTTTTATTCCTCAGTTGTCCAGTCAATCCTTTCTTATTGTATTATTATTTGGTTTTCTCACATCACCGTAGACAGCAAAGGTAAACTATCGAGAGTTGTTAACAAGGCTGACAGAGTGATTGGAGCCGATGTGAAATAAAAAAAAAAATAAAGATATCTTTAAAAATGTTATACTTGTTATGTTATGTACAAAAAATATCTCAGAATTTATTCTTTGACAATAAGGTTGACTTGTATCGTGTATGGATCCTTGGGGGACTCCGAAGTTAACGGCACAGACTCCAGACGACTCACTTCCCAGAGCAACAAATTGTTTTCTGTTGCCAAGATAACTTCTGAACCACTCCAAGGCCATCCCTCGGATTCCATAATGATCGAGTTTGGAAAGGAGGATGTTGTGGTTGATGGAATCGAAGGCCTTTGAGTAGTCAAGAAATAAACCAAAAGTGTGAAGCCGTTTATCAAAACTTGTAGTCATATGGTCGACAATTTTTAAAAGAGCATGTGAGGTTTTGAGTTTTTCTCTCTGAAACCAAACTGGGTATTAAAGAGTAATCCACATGACTTGACAAAATTGGTGGTTCTAGTATACATAAGCTTCTCCAGGATTTTAGAGATCTATCAACTTTTATTTTGTTGTTTTTGATGTTTTTTCATACAAACTGTAAGAAAAATTCCATTCCACTCTCGCATAGAAAACAAGGCAAATGGTGCCATGTTTTGCCTATTCTAAAGTCCTTTTAACAACATGAATGAAATAACGCACTGACAGCACTTCACCTTTGTTAGGTTTATTTAAAAAAAAAAACACCTCCAGCAATGTACAAGAGACTGGTATTAATTTGTCACAGTATACAATGAAAGCCCATATAATAATGGACTATACTCTAAGCATTTAAATGTCATCAAAAAGTAGTTAAACAATGTTGTGTTCTTGCACATTGGTGTAAAGCCATAGACGAACGATGGTGGTACCTTTTGCTGATGCCATATTTATTGAAGGGGAAGAGCCGCCCTTGGTGAGCTTTAACTTATCCGTTGAGCACCACCCCTTTAAAGTAATAGAATCATCCAATGCACTGGAATGGACCTTTCTAGTAAGCCCGGTCCCTTGCATATTGTTGCTATGATCCCACAAAAAACAAGTGTTCAAACATACGCAAACGAATGCATTTGTGGGACAACGCATGTATGATACGCACATATTCCTGGCCCTGTTCTGATTGGTCAATATTAATTTTGACACTCTGGAAATGAAAGGTCAATTTTCAGGAAATACAATCTTTGAATATAAATTATATTTTCTAAATGAAAAAGCAATTAAATTAAGCTATTGTCTCTTTGGTAAATTACACAAGAGATTTGTTGAAGTCTTGCTTAGTAAACCCTCTTTCTCTGTTTATTGAATATCATGGGACTTCGTAATTTCGGTTCCTTTGCTTTGTATATTTCATTGAAGTCAAGTCGAACTGCAAGAAGCCTCAGGCTTTCATCACTGTGTTCAGTCAACATTACCAAGAATTTTTGCACCATGTCCTGCAGAGTTAAAAAAAAAAAAGAAATCAAAGTGGAACAAATAGACAACAAAATAAATAATGAAAAGTACTGGTTCACTTCTGCAATATTGTAAATATATTTATATAGATTGGTCCTAGATGATCAGCAAGATCATGAATCTTGAAAATGATCAATAGATCAAAATGTTGAATCTTCAAAATGTCTTAGTTTCTTTTCAAAGTTACTGTGTTTTTGTTTTATTTAAAGTACTGTTATTTCAAATCAAATTATAAAATAAAATAATAAAATTTCCCAGTTCGTAAAAAAAATAAAAAAATGAAGCACTAGAAGCATTCATAAGTACCACATGATCGTCATGTTACAAGTGAAGTGGCAATGCTAGCTCTGCACAGGTCAGGAATAAATTTCTCTCAATCAGACAAGCATGTACCATTACAACCATATTAATGTTCCTAAAATCATGGTCTAAAAGCACAATATTATTCAAATTTTACCATATTAGACCATAAATCATGGATTTCCAGGACTGTGACTAGAAGCCACTTGGTGTGGATGCCATCTCACACTTGAGAGACTACTTGTTGGCAAATTTCTGAAGCCCCACCCTATACGTCAAGTTACATGGTATCATCATAATTAGGTTGTTAATGGCATGCTCCCTGATTTTATCCTAACTCAATAATATGTAAATGCAGTGCCTGGTAAGACTGGGTGAGGACCCTGAACTGAGCCCTGCAGCTAGGAACCACTTGACGAATGAAGTCTGCCTTCCGTTTCTTCTCAGATTCTTCCTCTTGTGCTGTAAGGCCCCAGTTTCCCTATGAAATGCAAAAATATAATATTTATGCAAACTCAGAATGCTGTCAATAATGTCATATTTTAAAACCTGCAAGGAAAAGAGGAGAAATGACTGATGTATGGACAAACAATATCAACAACAATTGATGCCACATTTATATAGCACATATTAAACACTTTTGATCAGTTGGAAGCTTACATAAAAAAGTGACGACGAGATCAAAATATTTTGTAATTGGGCAGGGAACTCGAAAGCAGGCAAGGAGAAAGCATTGCACCTTTGTTTATCAAATGCTTGTTATCATACAAGGAAATATTTATACACAATCATCACTGTATATACCTCCTGTGTTCGGGTGTCAATGACCTTTCTAACCTCTTCTCGTGCCTCAAGCTCTTCCAGTGCGGTCTTGTACATGGCTTCTTGAGCTGTCTGGTACTGAATTATCAGGTCAAAGATCGCCCGTAACTGAGTCAGCAATCGCTAAGACATAGAAATAATTTGATTGACAAAATAGTTTTAAAAAAATTATGTATTTACATAATTATATTCTATAATTAATTATAGTAGATTTTCAATGACATAAAAACTCAATTACAATTATATTTTGTTGTGCATATGAATACATAACTGGACTTGTCTTAGCAATCCTAAGACCTGGTGTCCCTATGCTGAGAAACGCTAGACCATTGATCCCTCATTGTGCACAGTGGGGAAAGTCCTTAGCTGTGGTTTGTGAAAGATAAGCATCTTAACAATGTGTGTAGAATTCTTACTGTAGATTCTGGGTCAAGTAAAGACCTCTTTATGATGGTGTCAAGGAAGACTTCATGAGCAGAAATGACATGGTCAAGGTCCTCGGCTCCTGTTACTTGCTTCCACAGCTCGCCCCATGCACACTCCAATACCTAACAAAATCACATTTAACAATATGTCATTTTTGGTATTATTAAGAATGGCAACTCTGGGAAAATAAGTTATAATATTGAGGCAGCAGCAAAATGGAAGTTGAAAGAGGTGAGAAAGCAATTAATGGTCAAAACGGTTAAAGCAGGGTAGCAGCAAACTACCGCCATAATATCGGTGCTGGTTCGAACGGCACTCTCCCTTTGGTGGTGGAACAAGTCTCGGATAAGGACTATAAACCGTAGTCCCAGTGTACACAATTGGTTCAGGTGCACTGTAAAGAACCCAGTACATCTTTCGAGATGAGTACGGGGTTAAAGCGGTGTACTGGTCCATATAGCCCCTGTTGTGGACAGATGAGAGAAGCTTGTACAGGTTTACTGGGTAGCTCAGACACAAAGAGACCCACCCTTTGGGGAGAAAACTAAATGTATGTTACTGTATGGGCCCATGCTTCGGATGCTCTGATCTTCATGAAATAGCGCTATAGAAGTGCTGTAAGGTATGTTACATGGCCATCATACTCCTCATAATTGTGATTATTGTAGGCAGACATCTAAACCACCTAACTACAGTTCAACAACAATACGTTTGATCACAAAATTACCTCAAAGTTAATGTAGTACTGCATCTGCTGTACAAAATAGATCATCTCAGCAGCTAAAACATGACACTGATGCAACACTGGGGCCATCTCTGATATAGAAAGAGAAATCACATGTAAGGTAGTGTCTACATATGTGTAATCACATCTACTGAAGTACAGATTTACAGCATCATAAATAGCCATATATTTTTTTGTTTGATTTCACACTAAGAGCATATTTGATTTGATAATAAAATATTTTAGCAAACACATAATAAATATGGTAATAATGATTATATGCTCTTCAATATCTTAACTGTTGTAGATAGACAGAAATTAGATGGAAGGTTGCATATACTGCATATAGATATGTAGATATGAATTGATATTAAGTAAATAATTACATAGAAATAGATAGGTAGTTTGCAGATCTTGATAGAAAGATAAAAACAGATCGATGACATAAAATATTACATTGTTTGGGTGACTACATGTATAACTCCCGTTATTTTATTCAATATAATTACCACCACGCATATTTTTGCTATGTTGGTCTTAAAATTCAAATGTACCAACTATGCTAGTGTTTTCATCACGTACCTGGAATTGATTTAAGCATCCTAGCATATGTCATCTGTCCACGCCACACCTGAGCTAATATGTACTCCATACGCTTTGCACGCCAAAGGAAGTTGAATGCCCGTAGATACATGATGATGCATTCAGCTGTGAAGACAGTTGCGATTGGTCCGTCCACATGATAGTCAAGACTGAACACATCCCAGCCTGTATCACCCGGTGAAACCTGTTAGGATCAAGTAGCATTGTTACTATTGACATGGAACTATCTGCTCTAGCACCATACTACCGGTAATAATGTTGTTTTGAAATCACTTGAGAGGATCCTATTCTGAGATTGTGGATCCTATTCTGAGTTTGTGGATCCTATTCTGAGTTTGAGGATCCTATTCTGAGTTTGTGGATCCTATTCTGAGTTTGGGGATCCTATTCTGAGTTTGAGGATGCTATTCTGAGTTTGTGGATCCTATTCTGAGTTTGAGGATCCTATTCTGAGTTTGTGGATCCTATTCTGAGTTTGGGGATCTTATTCTGAGTTTGTGGATCCTATTCTGAGTTTTTGTGGATCCTATTCTGAGTTTGTGGATCATATTCTGAGTTGTGGATCTTATTCTGTTTTTTTTTTTTCAGATCAGTAGTATACATCTGATAAACAATTATTATGTTGGGCTTTTGACCCGAGTCATTTATACTGAATTTCTTTTTAAGTTACAAAAACTGCCCCATTAATAATGAAATGGTCTAAGTAATAACTGGGTTATTAACTAGTGTGATATTGTTCACTCTCCGGTACTAATACAATTTTTGTATCAGAACACATTGTTGGTAAAAATATATACCGCATCCGCCTTCACACTGCTACCATCAATGATGCAACTGTATCTTACTAAGACAACAAAGCGCAAAATAACTTGGTACGATAATGGCATACCTCCAGCAGCCGAACATCAACCCTCTTGAGGATGTCAGGATCATCGTACTGGGCATTGGTTCCTCTGATGGCAGTCTCCAGGACACCAGTCACATTGTGCAGGTACAAGACATTGGCGGGTTTCGCCAAATCATCTCTAAAAAATGCAATGACTTTTAGTGGCGCTGTAGCTTGCGAGTTAAGATGCTTTCCTTCCAATCTTTTATTAGATCTCAATTTTATTTTTTTTTTAATTTTTTATTTAGGCACACAACTCATGCACCAAGGATTGTCAATAACAAATGTCACTGTCCTATAGGTGTCAATCCCTTACATAAGACAAACATACACACACAATGCTTTACACAAACTAAATCTCAATTAAATTTTTTTTCGCCAAATCATCTCTAAAAAATGCAATGACTTTTAGTGGAGCTGTAGCTTGCGAGTTAAGATGCTTTCCTTCCAATCTTTTATTAGATCTCAATTGAATTTTTTTTTTTTTTTTTATTTAGGCGCACAACTCATGCACCAAGGATTGTCAATAACAAATATCACTGTCCTATAGATGTCAATCCCTTACACAAGACAAACATACACACACAATGTTTTACACAAACTAAATCTCAATATGAGGTTTAGGGAGTGGAGTTTTTTTGGTCGTAAGAAAAGATCCTACAGCACTGACAGGAATTGAACCCAGGACCCTGGGATTGGAAGGCAATCATCCTAACCACCAAGCTATTCAACTTAATTTTAAAGCCTGGGGTTCAAATCCTATCACAACACAAGCTTTAAACAGCTTCACTACCTAGGCCTCATAATGAGACTTCGTTTTACGGGACTAAATATGTCTTAACACTCTGCCCACCAAACACGGAGATCTCCCTGTTTGAAAACGCAACGCTTGACCGCCAAACACGGAGATCTCCTTGTTTCGTGTTTTTTTTACGGAATCCGATAGATTAATAATAATTACTGATATGTACTTACAATTTGAACACTATATTCAGTCTGGACTGTTAGCATTTCACTATTTGTTTGTTTACATTAGCGTAGAGTGGTATTGGTTTGCTTTCACGAAATTGTGATTATCTCAGCTTTGTTGTGGAAATTGCGTAAATCTCTAAAAGTGAGTAACTTTCATTTTGCTGTTAAGGGTCACAGATTGTGATTAGAATAAAGTGTTTGGTACCATTGTAAAGCTAAAATGTTTGTAGTTCTTGTAGTATTCACTACCTGTCAATCTGATCACATACGCACTCTCAACGAGCTTCGGAAAAGTGTTAAGTCTGGCGGTGGTTGATACCATTTTTTCAAACCCCTGGCGGTCAGAGTGTTAATAACAGGGGTGTCTTTTGAATAGGGGTTGGCCATAGAGTTAAAAGATATACTTTTCTCGTTTTGTGGCTGAAGTGTCCCTTTAAGATAAGGGTGTCCCTTTAATAGAGGTGTCTCTCACAGGAGGGGCTCTACTGTACTCATCATAATGTTTGAGAGGGCTCCTGAAAATTAGCTAACCTTCTAGGAAAAGCTGGGTCACCTCTATACACAAAAACAACATTAAAAGATCTTGCAGTGCCTGTGATAAAAGACAGGTAGGTATACACAATGTAAATATTGGTAACTTTAGTAGCGCCACCAATGTTTCTATGACCATGTACTCTGATACTCACTCAAGCAAGTCCATGAGATGTTTAATAAAATCACCCTGTCCCAACAACAAGTATCGTCTCATTGCCTAAATTTAAGAAACAAAAATATTTGAATTTAAAAAGTAGTTTTATGTCTTAAACTAAATGCAAAAAATGTACAGCACATTCTAACCATTAGCATGCACATTTAGATAGCAACAAGTCACTAGCCAATCACATGATACAGAACTCAGCATCATTGTGTTTACGCAAAGTAAATTTTAAGGGGTACAGAGTCTCCTGAGTATAAACAACAAATATATACATTCTTTAATATTATTATTATTATTATTTGTTAAAGTCACTGTGTAATAACTACCATTATAACACTGTCAATAATGTTATAACTTATTAGAATTATGGTAATTATTAATATTTGCTTAGGTGGGATGAATGATTGGTATTGATCGTTCAGATAGTTTTATTATCAACATGTTTGTATAGCCTGCTTGTTATATATATTGATGGCCTCTTTAAGACAACATCGCTGTTATGATCAGTCTCATTAAAAATGTTTTAACAGTAGAATATGAATATCAAGTAACCACACAATGGAAGAATTAGCACAACAGATAATAACATTACTATATATAAGCATTTGTATAAATGTTCATAACAAATTCAACATTAATCACAGTACATTTCTTTGTTTATCAGGCAAACATATTATTGTTATGTCTATTTGCTAAGTTTTTTTTTATTAATCCTGTTTGATCTACAGAGTTAATATAGCAGAAAATCTTATCACAAAATGTATGAGGTCTGATGTGTTTAATGTAAAAGATTATAAGAGAAATGAGCTAATACACCGCTTGGAAAAAATACTAAAAACTACCCTGGCAATTTATTTGCCTGCTGGTTTCACTTTTGAGAAATTAAATAATAATCCAAGATAGATTCAATTTAATAGTGATACAGTGTGTGTTATGCCTCTATGCTTTATCAGTTAATAACAAAGAATATAAGACATGGTAAATCATTTTTATTATGCTTACAAAGTAGGAATATTCAGCTGAAATAAACTTTTGTAAACTTTGAAATGAAGAGATAGGTTTTGAGAAGCTGGTTTACTGTATAGTGTTTCATATTTAAATAGGAAGGGAAGTCTAACAAACTGCAGTTACAGCTGTGGTCTACAGAAAATAACTAGTAAAAATATATTTGTAGAATATGAAAGAAAAATTAACAAACATCATGAGATGTGAGTTTATGTGACACCCTGCAGCAAAAACAGAAATTTCTTTAGATACTCTCCGCTGAGCATGCCAATTATGTTATATACATTGCGCTGAAAACATATAGCAGAAATACAAATAAAATGGATGGATCAGTAAGGGAGATAAATAAAAATAATATAATTTACCTTCAGGTGTTCAAAGAACTTGTACTTGGTGAATAAAATGTCCAGGAGTCGTTTACTTGTTTGCTTATACACTACGTTAATGATCTCCTGAAAACTGCCATCAAGGTCCTGGTTAAACAGCATCTCAGCTGTAATTAAGTTGGTATTAATTCAAATTCAATTCAAAATATATTTTAGGAAAAGTAACAGCAAAAAGAAAGTCCTTTTCAAGATTTTAGTACAACACAAACAGGTTAACATTGAGGTTGACTGTAATTAATACTCACAGCTCTGACCCTTTTCCAAAACGTCGGTGGGCTGTTTAGTTGGGCCATTAATTGGCGAATGATCCTGACAAACTTGCCGAATGAAGTTAATAGATTTTCCAATCAATAAAATCTGAAGCAATAATTTTATTTTTAAAAATAAATCTTTTATTTTATTAAAAATAGAAGAGAACTAATCATAAAAGTGATCATATTTCTAACAGAGATATGAAAATTGCAAGCATGATGGGGGCATTACTTATTTCTTATTGAAGGTCACATTTTCAAGAGAGATCCCAGCAACACTCAAATCCTGAGTGTTAACCCTCTGGATCAGTCAATTAAGCATTAGTCATTTTACCTTGGATGCTTGGTCGGCATTCAGGAAAGATGGAATCATGGTCTTACGGAGTGAATACCGTTCATGCCAAAGTCTGTCATCCTTAACAGTAGGATCAGCTGCAACAAAGAACTATAACCACAACATTATCAGTATATTGCAATATAAGAGTAGGACAAAACAACTACGGGCTGCTTACAGTGAGACAAAAAAGAATGGTGATACCTACACCCAAATGTATGGTTAAGGAGGAGCCCAAAATTCTGCAATGGTTCAAAAACCTAGACAATTTTAGCTCTGTTATTATTTTACAAACAAAAATGCATTTGGATTAGTGATTATTGAGAATGTATAGAAATATACCTAGGACATGTAGTAGAAAAAAAAAATATGAATGACCGTCCAGGATTTTCAGGAGTTTTTTTTTTTTTTTGCTAAAACATCAGCAATAAAAACAAATCTCAAAATATCTAAGTATTTTATAAATATTAACCCTTTGAACCCTGCATTATTTACATCTTGCGGCACCCTCACCCTGAGTTATTTGGACAAAATATGCTTATTTTTTTATTACAATCATCACCACCACCTCCTAGGCCCTGTATCGCTACCATAGCCATCCATCAACCCGATGAACAACTATCATCACTACCACTGCTGGCACTAGCATTATCGTGATCGGCCTAGCCTAGGGCTAGAAACTAAACTGTTTACCTCACTTTTACTTTCCAAATCACTTCCTGGATAATCATCAATATATTCTTGGGAGTCATAAAGTATCAAGTGTAAAGCATGTGGTATTGTCAAATTATTCAATATAAATTTGTTTAAAAAAAAAAAAAATTCAACACGTACGAGGCTGTCAGAACGACTTGGGAATGATGATGTTACAAAATTACGTCATATTACTCATACTGGCTAGGTGATTACCCCGAATAATGTCACCTGACCCACAAAGCCGGTATACCAGCCTTTAGGGTTATTGCAGCGTAAGCGTGCGGCCGTTTTTCCAGCCTTTTCGGGTTCAAAGGGTTAAAGACATCATAATATTGAAAAAGTGTACTGACCAATCAAAACTGGTTATATTTGCATATGTATTATTTATTTATTTAAGATTTATTAACCAGGGTGTAACCATTCAGTGACTAGCACTGCTTTCCAAGGAAGCTCTGGTATTATTGCATAATAAAAAAATTAAATCATAATTCATCATTATTGGCCACAAAATTATAAATATTATATTAATACCTCATGACATCGATCTTCCAACTGTCCATCATAAATCCATTTGTCAATGAAGTTGCGTATTGGAAATGCAGTAAGCTTCAGTATATGGCGCATCAGGCTGCGTACATCTGGGTCACCATGCATTGTGTATGAGTGAATGGCTGAGGATAGTGCCCCTCCTTTTTTGTCTAGATAAAAATAACAATAAAACCAATTCAACAGCATCCCTGCATAATATGGAAAGACTATGCACCAACACACACACAGTAATTATAATTAATAATAATATGTAGGTTTTTATTTAACGCTCTATACAACTAAGTCTCGGAGCGCTTTCCCACATTATTACCTCTAGTCATTGGGACAATGCCTATTGGGAAATTCCATAGTTTGCTGCATGAAATATATCAGCGTATTTTGCACTCGAACGCCTCAGGTACCCATTTATACTCCTGGGTGGAGCAGAACAATGCAGATAAAATGCCTTGCTCAAGGGCACAAGCGAAATGCACAGTGAGTGATTGAAACCCCGACCAAGAGGTTGAGAAACTAAGCAGTTCATGCTGCGCCAAACCACTTCTACAAATATACCACAGCCCATAATCACACATCAAACATATCTGCATGCACACTGTTTACACACAGTATATATAACTACTTGACAATGTGTTAAAACACTTTGTATGAACAAAGCCAAATGCTATGTCCACAATACACTCATAAACTCAAATGCTCCATAAATATTTATTTTATTATATTGATTTTAACAAAATTAAATGGTTACCAATCCCAACCAGTTTTACTGTCAAGAATCCTAATACTAAGTCGAGTTTTCTAATTTTTCGTTTTTCTAGTGGGCTGGTTACAGTTCATTTTTATGATCACCACCTATAGTGTCTGTAAGCACTAACATTGTTATACAAACAACATCCATCTAAAACAGATCAATATGTTCAAGTAAAACATGGCTTCAAAAAAAACCTGTAACAGGAGGATGTGCTGTAAAAATACATCACACAATGCTCACCTTTGCAGTAGTCTACAAGCAGGGCTAGCCACTTCATTCGGTGCTTGGGGTCAAGTGTCCACACAGCAAGTCTAAGAAGTGTCAGAGAGCTTTTAGGGTCATCGCTCATGCCCAGGTCATCCTCTTGCTTAAGCTTAAGAGAAAAGAATGAAGACAAATCTATTAAAATATTTCAAAATAAAATATTCTTTAGCATTTGCTACTGATCGTAATCTAAAGAATTCCATACTCATTTGTACATGTACAGTAACATTCATTCTTTTTAACGCTGTTGGATGTGAATTGAAATAAAATGAATAAAATGTACCGAACACCCAGGCAGTAGGTAAAGGAGACCATTATATTGTTTACACATGTACACATAGAGAGAGTGATACATACTCAGCACCAGAGTGAGGAAGATGAGACTGTCCTAGCTCCAAAATAGTTCCACTTTTTATTGTTTGCTTTTTTCTTTTCACAATTCGGTCATTGTCAGCAGTCGTTGTATATCGTTGCAGTCGTCTTTGTATGCTAGCTGTCTACTAAAGTCACCATAATTGCAGATTCACTACATAAATCTTCAATATTAATGTAAAGTTAAAGTAAAGATATTGCTTGTTTTGTAACTAGAAAATTTCGGCAGAGCCTTTAAAGATCCAGTCGAAATAGTGAGACGCACCCTTGGTGGTCAATGCAGCATTCTTACTTTACATACGGATAATGCTCAAAATTATTACCTGTGCTTGAAGCACTGACAGTAGTCTGTAGTATTCGGTTAGTTCTTGTTGTAAAGCAGCAATAAAACTCTAAATAAAAGCAATCCAATCAAAAAATATTAATTCAGGCTATTCATATGGTTGCTATAACTAAGTAAATGTGGTGGATATTTAGCATTGAGACGGCATGTTTATTTACACATATTTTTATGATGGTTAGTGAGGGTGCACTCCAACTCCAAGGAAAATTGTGGTACCTTACTCATTTTGATATTAAAATAAAATTAGTGACTGATGTCATAGGATACTGTACTTACCTGACCAACAAGTCCAAATGTTTTATCTTTGCTTCGGTTATCTGCATATTTCCTTACTTTGTTATGAAGCCAGCCTAGCTCAGCTTGCTTATGTACCTGATCTCGAACAGCGCGTGGTACACCAATCTGAAACATAAGGGCTAATCAACTAATCCAAAATGGAGTATAATACTATTTTTAAAACACAATTAAATTTAATAGCAATAAACATTCATACACAGACATATTTGGCAATCCACATGAACCATTCAGTAATCATTTCAGAATTTTAATATTGATATACAGTGTATTTGTTTAAAACTTGATAACAACCTACAGAGTAGGAATGAAACTAGGCAACAATTTGAATTGTGTGTGTTCACATTTAAGCAAAAACAACATCGGTTTTGTAAGTGTAAATGACGACAATGGACCTTTCTGGAAAATGTCTATCAAACTTAACTGACCAATCAGAACATGGCTAAGAACACACACTTGTCCCACAAATATTTATGATGTTTACACTGTCGGAGACTTTACTAAAAACATCCAAGGGATAGGGCTTAGCAGAGAGGTTGATTACTTAAAACTTGCATTTTAATAAACTTTGTTTAAATACCTGCCGATCAATACGGTAGGCATCCTCGGCTTGGTTATATTTGATCATCTGGCCATCAATACCTTGAAATACATAAACTAATTCACGCAAAATAGCGCCTTCAGGTACTTCGTGTGAAGCTAAATAAAACAGGTGAGATGTAGATAATGAAGAATAACACTGATAGTTAAAACTCACCAGTTCATTTTAGAGTAAACAGAGGAAAATGTAGGAAGCAATAACATACTGTATTCAAAGTTGAAAGTGTAAATGTACTGAAGTAATGAAAACTATGCAAAAGGAAATGATTAAAATAAAATAACTACAATTCTACATGAATAAAAATGCTTTAGTAGTCCTATATATAAAGGCAATACAAAGAAAATACAGAGATAAAGTAAACTTATTAATATTTCAATTTTTTGAGAACATGGTAAAGTCTAAAGCTGATAGCTTCCTATGCACATATTGGCCTCACCAAATTTAAAGCTTCCTAAAGAACTCATATCAAAACCCAAAAATTAAGGGAGACTACCACTTAGCTCAGTTGGTATTGTAAATGGGTAATTGGAGGTTCCTGGTTTCAAATACTGATGGAGACTATTTTTCTTGCAAAAATGTTTAACATCTTAATATTAGACTGATAATAGTGTTTCTCTACACAAACTTTAACATCAATTAATATTTATGAATAAATCTTTCCTCCAAAATTCTTACTATTTTCATCTTCTGTGTATGTCTTGTAAACAGATCTGCGTGACACTTGGCCTTGCGAGGGCACTGCTAAGCTTGTGACGGAGTTAGGATGGGTACTGTCCACCATCAGCTTGGCTAATCTGGTCCCCACAGACTGCACCTCTCCTTGCCCAAGGGTGTGGCCAGGTGTAGGAAGAAAGCTATGAAGTGTAACAATTGTTTAAACAAATTAAAGTTGACTAAACTGGTAGTCACTGTGGGTGCTCAAAATGCTAAGCTATGGGCCCTTGTTCAATCCTATTACTGTTTCACTTTTGTTTCCGTTTAAGAGGTGAATTGCAATTTATTACAGTTATTACAAGTTTGTGTGAACTAAACTATGTTGACCATTAGGTCTCTGCTAATTAATATTATATACCACATACACAGATTCCAGGCATCTGATTGGTTAAAAAGTGGGTAATAACTTCAAACATCACTACTCCTATGACATAGGTTGAATGATACAGTAGTTCATAAGTAGGAATTGGATCACTGTGTATGGAATATCATAAACATCGATGCAAATACCCCACTATACCGAAAGTTATAGTTACGACTTTTAAAATTAGCCACAACAGAGTAACTTCTTTATTCCAAATATGAAATCAATAAATGTGAAAGTATTTTTTTTTAACTGCTAAGTATATACCTTGGAATAGAACGGGATCTAGAGTCAGCTGAGATGCTACTTATACCAGTACCTAGAAAGTGAAGATGCCATGCATTTCAACTTAAATAGTCACTAAGAAAATTTCAGTGTTATTATATGCTAATAATTAATAATTATCATCAGTTTTTCAATAAGGATTTGATGATGTTATGCATAGTATTATAGGCAATTAACATCTTTATCGTTACCAATATTAAAATTAAAATCATTGGAATCACTCAATCACAATCATTAATGTCACATCAACATCATGCATCCAATGCTGAATAAAGATCACCAAAAATCACCACCATAATATCATAATCATCTTCTGCATCCTTCAACCACCTTATCATTACAGTTGTAATAATCATTACTTTTTTTCTACTTCCTTTCTTCCCATTATAATTTTATGTCACAATTACCTCCACCATCGTCTTCCTCTTCGCATGCATACCTACCTATTCCACTGCTTGCCCCACTATGATGTGTTGACAGTGTGCTATCTGACTCCAAGGTGTGCCCGGTGGTATGAAGATTCCTTGGCACATAAGGTGTTGATGTTGCATAACTTGCAAGCCCATGCCCAAATAATCCTGTTCCATCAGTTGTCTGCAATAAAGCATAATATGTGGTAAAGACAAGTCACTCCTCGCAAAAAAAAATGATTTTTACAGAGTTTTCACGTACAGCTGTGTAAAGAATAATATTAGAGAAATCAGCCTTCAAAATTTACGATTTCAGCCATTTTTCAGTAAGATGAAGCATCACCAAATCGTTCAAAATTGTTGTTTTGACATTAAAAATAGGGAAATAACGACATAACATAATGTACAGATATATAAAGGTTAGCTTAGTGCAATAAAATAGATTTTTTTAAATGCTGACATTCCAGAATGTTTTGGCCATTATCTCTGAAACATAATTTGTGACGAGTAACTGGTTTGGCTTGTCTTTGCCAAGCAAAGCATGCAAGGCATGTATGCATGCAAAGCCTGCATGCAAAGCCAAGCCAAGCAAACATGCAAGGCATGTATGCATGCAAAGCCTGCATGCAAAGCCAAGCCAAGCAAAGCATGCAAGGCATGTATGTATGCATGCAAAGCCTGCATGCAAAGCCAAGCCAAGCAAAGCATGCAAGGCATGTATGCATGCAAAGCCAAGCCAAGCAAAGCATGCAAGGCATGTATGCATGCAAAGCCTGCATGCAAAGCCAAGTCAAGCTAAGCATGCTTGTCTTTATGCATGGTAAGTACAAGAGTTTAGAATGTTTTTTGTTGATTTAAATTTTAAAATGTTCTTGCAAGCCTCTGTTTGTCTGCTATACACATTTTTATGGGCAGCATGTAAGGCTGTGACACACGTATGTTAGCATTGGTAGCGGACAGGAACTAATACAATTAAACCTGTTTTAGAATACTGCACCCTAATATCAACACTACAAAACTAGAAGGCATTACAGTATATATCATTTGGTTGTCATTTGTTCCAATCTAAGCTACATTTATTTACAGTGTCCAGTCATGTCACATGTACGTTTTGTTTTGTAACAGCTATTCTGATGGCATCTTTGCATCAGGAGAAAAAATACAAAATAATGTTTGCCTATATGTTATCGTACGAAACCCCACCTTAATCTCTTGCGAGATTTTTATTCGCAAGCATTTGGGAGCGTACTGAGCATTCTGAACGATGATACGTCAGGTAGAGCAAAAACTGTTTCGTACTGTATAATGGTTAACAGGTTTGTTTAAGTACTCATCCCCAACCTGACATGATATTTACCATCTCAGTTGTTTAGTATACCATAATAGTAATATTAATATTAATAGAATAATAACATTTCATGTTTAGAACTCTTCGCACTCTAAATACAGTAGCTAACCTTTGGCTTTTTCTGACGTGGGTCTTGATTGAGTTCAAGCAGTAGATAAAGAACAGCCCAGCGATTTGTCAACACAGCCTGCCAAGATAAAAAAAAATAACAAATAGCAATTGATTTGACATCAAATGTATTCCAGCCTCTACCACACACAGCACTTGCCCTTAGAGGGAAATAAATTGAAAATTAAACAAACATAATTTTAAATCATCTTGAATCAAGTAATATCTAAACAATTTTCTGATCAATAATAATAAAAAAAATGAACCAAAGAAAATTACAAAAAAATATAAATTATATACAAAAACATCATTATTCGACATACTATAGTTTAAGATAGAAACAGATGAATTCTGGTTTTGTTTTGTTTTTTTATATCTAAACAAATCTTACCTGTGTTTGTAGTTTTCTATGCAACTCCATGAATCTCACAGCATCACCGGCTCGTCCTTGTCTTGCCACTGCATTTGATGTACAAAAATTGATTGAAAATAAAACAATTAATAAGTTATGTAGTTTGACAGCTTGTTAATAGCAGGGGGCAGCAGACTGTTGTTGATGATAGGGTTTAGGATTGAAATCTTAACAGTTCCATTAGATGCAAAAGTTATAGTTCAAAACTTACACTTCTTTTTAATTTTTTCAACGACTTGGAATTCATCTGGCTCGATTGTTGGTGAAAAATGACTGAAGAAAAAAAATAAGTTCATGAAATAAACAATTAACAGTAGTTCATAAACCTCTACTGTAGTGTAGTATTGTTTTTTTATATTTTATCATTATTATTATTATTATTATTATTATTATTATTATTATTTTTATTTATCATAGTTATTATTATTATCATTTTTATAATCATCATTAATAATGTAATATTGTTAAAATTTGGTATTTTTCCCACAGAGCCATATTCTTTTTGGCCCTGTCACTTGATGTACTCCCCATAAGTTAAGTTTAGTATGTAAGATGCAATTGAATAAATAAATTAAATTTAAAACTAAGTCTTCACTTTCATTGAGCCAGAACATAAGAGAGACCAACCTGCTCATTACACTCAGAACATGTTGAAATTGAGCTGTAATATCACCTATAAATATAATACAAGAAAAAAAAGATAAATTTTATTTTATGATCTGTCACATTGTATTTATTCATTGAATTTTTAGGCAAAATGGCCAATGATATGCCACTAGCGAAGTAATCACTTTCTGAGTGGCAATCGCTCAACAAAAAAGACAAACAACATACAAACTCGACATCTAAACTAAGTCTCATGATGAGGCTTATAATTATAGAGTGGAATTGTTTTGGTAATGGACAAGAATTGAACCCAGAACCCTAGCATTAGAAAGGCAATCATCTTACCTACTAAGCTACAGCACAATTTTATATTTTAATTCAAGATGTAAAAACAGACATAACTTCAAAATATGATGTGTTACAAAATCCTGACAAAGAAGCTCTTTCATATTGTACAGTCTGAGTAAGTATCTGTTTCTTTACTTTTTTTGTCTTTCCTTTTCTGTAGTAAGTTTCATTTAGACACTTTAGCTCAAGTGTTAAATTAACAAAATATTTCATACCTTCCTTTCGTTTAAGTACTTTAAAGACCAATCTGTGTAGCAAATGATAGGGATCATCTTGGGCTTGGTGTGCTGTTGCCATACCAACTGGCAAGTGGATCTAGAATGTCTACAACAACAAAAAAAGATAATATATACAAATGTCAGTTTACTTATTTAAAACTTCAATGCTATTTTTTTTCTACAGTGAAAAATTATTTACTCTATGACAAAAAGATAAAATAAAATAAGCATTTGTAGACAAAATTGATGTGCAGTTGTTACTGTTACATGTCCAGACAGGTAGTCATTTAATACCTATGCATGGTAATGTGCACATTGGCTGTATTTGATAATGCACGTAGGACGTATAGTTTGATAAGATCAGTACACATGCATAAATGTGTAAGCCTAGCTAGCAAGAAGTGCTGCCACATCAGTCTTCAATTTTGAAGACCAACAGCTTTACCACAAACTTCAAAGCGATGGTTGCGTGACGATGATGTTTACTGTGGCACAACATAAAAGACTGATCCATGTACTGTACACATAAAAAGTGCAGCCAGTGTCTACCTAGGTTAAAATTTCATGTAGGCTTACTATACTATTATGTATTGATACTGCTCACCAGCATTTGCTGAGCAAGATAGAAGCTACAGTAAGGTAGATCTTAAGTCTGGGGCAGATGCAGACAGTACTATTGCACCCCACTAAATTACTTACTGTAAGAAAAGTAATTCATTGTTGTATTTATTGTTAGGGGAACATGTTACGAACTTATCAAAAACCATCTCTCGTAATACAGGCATAATTTTAATTTTCAAACTCAACCATATATCTCATATTTATTCTCATTCTTGATAATTTTGGTTATTATTACAATTTTTTTAATTTTTTAAATTATTAATGGTATTATTGTAGTTACTGCATTCCATTATTTTAAAAAGCATTGCTATATTTATTGAATTGCCACTTGTAAGCATATATTTGTATAGTATTATTCTTGTTGGAAAAAAAATTATATTTAACTTGTTAGTAGGCCTATGTACATGCATAGAAATAAAAATGAGAAGTTTTCGTCATTGGATGATGATTATTATTTCACAGAAAGAAAAAAAAAAACCATGTTCACTGGAATCTAAGTCCTATATAATTTGCCTACATACTTTGTCTAATTGCAAGGTTTATTTCGTTAATTGCCAAATAAAAGCATGAAAGATGGGTTTCAATGTACAGTAGGACTACTCCTTAGGTCCAATTTTTAAATTTTTTTTGGAAATTTTTTTCATATAAATACATCGTAGGCCAGTTTTAATAGCATAATAATAGGCCTAGACCAGAGGAATCTGTAAAAAACTAATTCCTATTTGGCATAGGCCTATTAATATTAGTTTTTTAGTAGTAGTATATCTTTAATACATTCAATAATTACCGTCTGTGTCGTGTGTCCCACATAAAACATGGGTGGCCTATCTTTTATCATTGCAAATTTTTCCGATCGATTAAAACATCGGAATTTCCGTTTATCACCCAAAAAACACATTATGTTGAATGAATCATACAGTAATCTAAAAAGTTAATATCAATATCAGTTCATAAATATAAATGTCACATTTTATCACAAATGATGAAAGAGTCCTTGCACAGTTTACATACTGCGCGCACAGTTTGAAACAACTTCGAAATTACGTCAGCAACTCAAAACTGAGCAAAAGGAACAAAATGTGCACAACACAATATAGTAGATTATATTTATACAAGGCCTTACTAATAAATAAGAAGCATCATCATGCCAAGCCTTGTCTTATTTTAAGTAAAAAAAAAAAAAAAAAAAAATAGATAGGCTTACTACTCTAATCTAGCAAAGGCTGGACTATACCTAGCCTGTGACTCTGTCTCAGGCCTACTACTACACCCTAGCGGCTAGCTAGGCCTGTCCCTGCTGCCAGGCCCTAGGCCCCTCTCTCTACTAAACTAAGCCTAGGCCGAAAGTGAGTAGCACTACCGGTGGAAGGCCTAGGCCAGGTGCTAGACTAGATCTTTATTATGGTTTAGCTAGACCACCCCTTATGTTATGATACCGAAAATTAAATAATTAGCATAGCTACAAATTCTGTTAATCATTTAGTGAGCCCTACCGCTACTAAATTAAAACCATAATATTGTCATTCGCGCTCTCTGCTCCCGACGACTGAAGCAGCAATGGGCGTATTCGACTGTTCATTTTGTTGACTACGAATTTTCGTTGAGTAATATATTCATTCGACTGGTTCATAAAATAGACTTGTTGACAACCTGACGTAACCAGAGTGCATTAATCTGCGTTAAGTTATTCACGTGACCAAAACAAACATGGCCGTTTGCGTTAATATAATTTAAATTAAATTTCAGACAATAAAAATTATAATATTACCCACATGAAGTCAAAAAATAATTGTAGGCCTATCAAATCAAATCAATCAAATTTTATTTTCGGATGAAACATAAACACAAAGAGAGGTAAAAAACATGTCATCCAAGGATTGTCAAAAAGTTTAAGATGAAAACTATCAAGTGACTCTCCAAACAGAATCCACACAAACAGAACAAAATCAAGCATAATAAAGCTAATATAATAAATGAATAAAACCAACTGTCATCTCAAAATGCAGTCAAATTTTCAATTGAAGAAAATAGCTGGTGCTTCCTTAAGAAATAAAAGCTATAATATTTCAGTGCTTTCATCAATATATTCTTTGACTAATACTGATGGGGGAGAATAATAATTCGGATCTGATATTATCAGGAAGAGAACTAAAAGTCTACTAAAATGAATAAATGGAGAGTATTTGTAGGCATTAGTACGGGAAAATTGTTCTATAAACTTGAGTGAATTTAGACGTCTACAATTAACAGAAATATCAGACAAATTAACATCAAGATACTTGTAAAGCCTTTTAACAATAAACATAAGATGTAAAAACATAATGCGAGAATAAAATGATGAAATGTTAAGACGCTTGAGTCTGTCAGGATAAGGAGGAAGGGCACTCCAATGCCCACCAACATAGGATCTAGTAAATCTGTGCTGTACCTCTCCAAAGATCTTAAATGGCCACGTTGGTTAGGGCAACCACGAGGGAATACCATACTCAAGTAAGGAACGACACAGAGTGAGATACAACTGTTTGCAGGCATTGTTACCTTGCACCCCTCCAACTATTCTTTTGACAAACCCAAGCGTCTTGAAGCATGTGAAACCGCATGATCCACATGCCTACCCCAACGCAAGTCACAAGAAATAATAATACCAAGGTATTTAAAAAAAATAACTGAATCAAGAATGGTATTTTCAAGGGTATAATTGATTGTGATGACTAGCTGATCTAGTAATATGCATAACTTTGCATTTGCTTGGGTTCAGTTGCATTTTATTTGACTGACCCCAAGAGACAATGCTATTCAGATCACTCTGAAGTTTATCAACGTCAGATGACTTACTTATCGCACCATAAAGCACTGTGTCATCAGCATACTGGGGGGGGGGGGGACACAGGATAAATTGGACTCTTTGATATATACCACGAAGAACGAGGTGAACCAATTAAACATTTGGTCACGAATTCCATAGTTACAAAGTTTCTTTAAATTAATGCGATCGAACACTTTGGACCAATCTAAAAATACTGCATCAATTCGAGAAGGGTGATGAGAATCTAAGATTTTGCTCCAGTCATGAATAATGGTCGATAATTGGGTGGTACAAGATCTACCCTTAATAAACCCATTTTAGTTAATAGGGAGAAGCCCACTGTTGTCAATATGAGAGAAAAGATGGTAACTTACAATCCTTTCTAACAGTTTGCAAAAATTGAGGTAAGGGAAATGGGACGATAGTTACTGATATTAAGATTGCCAGTCTTGTGAACTGGAATAACGTCAGCCTTTTTCCATTCAGACGAGATGTGTCCAAACGATAATAACATGTTAAATAGTTTAGTTATTGTAGAAGAGATATAAGGAGAGGCTAATTTAATCATATTAGGGGTGATAAGATCAGGACCAGGGGATTTGCGAGATGAAATTGTGGCCAAGAGTTTATATACTTCTCCCTCAGTAGTGCTGATGACACAGATCTTATTAATATACTGATCACAAATCGGTGCACTGAGAACTGATGTTTGATCATCCTCAGTTAAATTATTACAACAATAATTGTTGAAAGCAGAGGCAAATCAGAATCACCACAGAAAGTTGATTTATCCAGAACAAAGCTTCTGGGAGGGTCAGTTTCAGTTCTACGAGTTGAGTTAAAATGCCCAAAACCTCTTACAATTGTATTTAGACCTACACTCATCAGATACATGTTTAACATAGTCAAGTATAGGCTTTTCTCGACAGTGACCTAACTTTGTTTCTGCACAGCTTGTATAATTCCCACTTTCTAGGATTATCTTTATGTCTCAGTGCCTTTTTGTAAAAGCCTGTGTTTTCTCCTAGATAGCTTAATTAACTTGGGTGTAATCCATGGAGGATTTTTCCTCCCTCGAATATTTACTTTGGGGATAACGTCGCGGACAGCAAGATTGAACATGCTCCGAAAACGAACCCAGGTCGAGTTAATATCCCCTTCAACAAGACAGGAATCCCAATCGGTGTCAAAAAACCTACGGTGGAATAAGTTGAAATCAATTTTCGAATATGCAAAAACAGGTCGGGACACTGACGAGAAATGACTCTTACAAGGAAGGTGAAAATGAATACATTCATGATCACTTGTTCCAATAGGAGGTAAAGAGGATATATCAGTAATAAACTCAGGTCTGTTATAAAATAACAAATCCAGAATATTACCAGCACTTGCAATGTCATTAGGTCTTAACCTACGTGTAACAAAATTTACAAGTTGGACCAGGTTCAGTGTGTCAGTGACAGATATCAACTGTGAAGCCTGCCAGTTAAATCCAAATTAAATGGGATATTGAAATCCCCAGCAATAATAATTGTTTTGTAATTGTGAGACATAAAAAAATACATTTTCTAAAGCACTTTAAAAATAATTGAAAAAGCATTGATTAGCAGATGGGGGCCTATAGACACAACCCAGCAAAGACTTTCCACGTTTTAAAGCAACGTCAACCCAAACCATTTCAAGAGAAGAACTAGGATCGCCAGAAATCAAACACGGTTTTAAATAACGCTTGCATGCGATTAGTACCCCACCCCCGTGTCTATCACGATCAAATCAAAAAACAACATAAGAAGAATAAAAATATTCAGAACTAATTGAAGAGTCCTAGTCTAACAGAATTAAAAAACTTAATGAAAACATTTCATTAAAAAAAATCTATACGGCCACAAGAGGATACAATTTTGATTATGCAGCGTGTATCTCGGTAACTATGCAGCCATTTTGTTTTGCCGAGTTTTTATCAGTTTTCTATTCGACTGGTCGTCTTCTTAATTAAGTAGGAATTCATCACTGCGCAGGTGGGCGTTTTTTTTTAACGAAGAACTAGCTGTCAAATACGGCAAATGTTTACGCAAAGATCTTTGTTTTAGTACGGCAGCTTAGGGCCATATTTGGACTTAATGTGGACGTTCCGGACAAAAGCACCAATTTTTTTTTACATGCTCCTTATGGTCATAGCATTCAATTTTTGGTAGGAACCACCTCATCCGAGGTCATTATGGCGGCCATCTTGGATTTCAAAATGGCCGCCTAATAAAACCTATGTTTATCTATATCTCCGCTTCTAAACCACTTGGAATTATAATTCTAATAATTCTAATGTCTAAGAGTATGATTATATGATCGAGGAATACCATCATATCATTTTTGACCTGGTTAGGTTGCCACAAATGGGTCATGTAAGATATTGTATGGTATCTTTAAAATTACGTAATTGTCAAATTTTACATTAGAATCATACCCATACTCTCAGAATTCAAACTTTTTACTATGAACTACAATATTTCATTCGATGTCATTCTGGCAGCCATCTTAAATTTCAAAATGGTTGCCATGCAAAACCTATATTTATCACTATATCGGCTTTTAAACAACTTCCAATAAGAATTATGATGTCTAAAAATATATTTTCATGGTCAAGGATTTATAGCACTTGTGACATGGTGAGATGATCATTTAAAGTCATTCAATTTCATTTCTCTGTTAAATACGTAGAAAATCTTAATAGTTTGTAAGTGGTCGTGTTTTACAGCAAAATCATACATAAGCTCACAAATTCAATTTTTGGTCATTATGACAGCCATTTTAGGTCAAGGTCATTAAGCAGCCATATTAAATTCCAAGGTGACCACCATGTAAAACATGTTTTGTTCCTTTAAATATGTTTACTGTACTGCATAGTCAAAGAATAACATCAAAAGTAGTGACATGTATTTGTATTTATTATATTCCATTATATATTGAAAAAGTCTGATATCAGAAATTGTATTTAATGTGAAATGATAAATTGATATCAAAAAGAATGGTATAATATATATATATATATATTCATTATATATATATATATATACACATATATATATATATATATGTATTGTGTGTTTGTTGCGTGTGTAGGTGTATATATATGTATGTATATATGTGTATATATAAAGTATGTACAGTATGTGTATATATGCATGTGTATATAAGTATATATATATAATTGAATATGCAATAATGTTTTGCTCACACTATGATGACATTACTTTCATTAAATTTAAATAATATTTTGTATTTATAATATTCAAAATCTCATAATTTTTTGACAGGATTTCTTATTGTATACCCTGGTACAGTATGTGTTTATTTAGATTAAAAATGATGAAAAAATTGTAAGTTACCCCCACAAAAGTTTAAAAAAAAAGTGGTGACATGGTCAGATAATTATGGTCATAAATAGGTCATTAAAGATCAATATTGTATGACATCTTAATAATACATCTTCTCAGATTGTTATTAAATAATCAGAACAGTGGCAAGATTCTACTAGTGAAATACCTTATATACAGTATGTATATAAGTATACAGAGACTATGCTATATATAAATTAAAATACTTTGCTGTGTAGTAGTATATAAATACAATACTAGTTAAAAGATAGAATAATAATAATGTTGTAATATATAAATATGTATCTCGACCACAGGTCTCTGTGGTTGTGTTGGTAAGACCTTCGCACGTTAAGAAAAAGGTGCTGAGTTCGAGTCCTGGTGGAGGCAAGGTTTCCTTTTCATTCTGATCAGATTCTCCTCTTCTGTTGCATTTAAATTTTACATTATTATTAACAAAATGGGTTTATCCCATTGGTCTATTAAATTAACTAAGTATATAAATTAAAATTATTTTCTATTATTTGTTTTTATATTATATATGCGCCTAAATATAATGTCATGTAGACGTTCAGCCCTCATAGTCAGCTAATTCAAAATTAATTTATTTATTGTTAATCCATCATAAAAAATATATATTATAATGTCAACTGAATATATATATATATATGTATGTATATATATATATATATATATGTATATATATATATAAACATTGTCAATAGGTAAATGATAAAAGCAATGCTTATTGTTATTTGTTTCTATATAGGTTTATATATACATGTATATAGGGATATACCTTATTATCTGTATATCTAATAATATATATAAAGAAATGTTTGTATACAGTGAGTTTATTGACCATATAAAAATAGTTTCAGACATTAGAATTATAATTCCAAGTGGTTTAGAAGCGGAGATATAGATAAACATAGGTTTCATTAGGCGGCCATTTTGAAATCCAAGATGGCCGCCATAATGACCTAAGATAAGGTGGTTCCTACCAAAAATTGAATGCTATGACCATAAGGAGCATGTAAAAAAAAATTGGTGCTTTTGTCCGGAACGTCCACATCCATCTGCTAAGCTGCCGGACTATTATGTGTGATAGGAGGATAAACTATTTTTTGGTTAACATTATAAACAGGTGAGAAACTATACCCTTATTTTCATCTGCTTATCACACTGTATGTGGCTAAGTCAAGCTAAACTAATCACTCCTTGCAAAAAAACAATTTTTAGTGAATACAAGGTTAAAAAGTACATTTAGATTTATAAAGGATCACTTAAATCCGACATTGTGTTATGAAGTTACAGTTATGTTTAATCATATAGCTGTTTAAAGAACAGTATTTGAGAAATCAGCCTTCAAAGTTGAAAATTTTTGGTATTTCTCAGGCAGAAACCATCACCAAATCATTAAAAATTGTTGTTTTAACATTGAAAATGGGGAAAATAATAAAATAGCATGATGTATAAATATATAAAGATTAGTTTAGTGCAATAAAAGATTTCAAAAATTTTGAAACTCAAGCAATTTTTACAATTATCTCTGATACACAATTTGCGAGGAGTGACTGGTTTTGCTTGTTTTTGTCACACATTGCTTACCAAGAGGTCAAGTAGTGGATTTTACAGCGCTTTGTACCAAACTCTCAATGAGGTTGAAGAATGCTTGTACCTCTCATCTGCCCTAAGAGTCAATTTGTGTCTGAGTTTTTTAGTAAACAGATGAAAAAAAAAGTGGGGGGGCTGTATTGACTAGTACTCCGATGTGGTAAACCCTCTACTCATCTCAAAAGATGTAACAGGTATTGTACAGTCAATTCTTTATGTTGCACATGAGACAATTATGTACACTGGGCCAAGTTTTAAAGTCCTTATCAAAGATGACTTTTGTATTCCTTAACCAAGACCGCTTGAATCAGAGGCAATATTATGGCTACTGCATTTGTGGCCCTACCTTAACCACTGGCCATTTGGCACTAAGTTTTGATAGTTATAAAGGATTAGACTTGTACACTTACTGTTAGAACAATGTGTTTTATTGATCAGCTTGTAGCCAGTTTGGCAGGCACAGCTGAACCCATCGTCATTGAACAGACACAGATGACTACAGCCACCATTATTTGTACCACACCTATCCTCACCTGTAAAAACAGAATTTGTTAAAATATAAAGAGTGTATACTGCCCTCTATAGAAATAAAGAGTTTGTTGAGTTTTACACATAGAGATATAATAAGAATACTAGAGCGTTAACTACAATGTATTCGATGTTCGAAATACGCAGAGCTGTGTGTGTGTACCATCCATGATGGCTGCCATAGATTCAGCCAATCAATTTTCGCCTAAGCACCATCATTTGCAATTGCGCCCTCAAATTACACAGAAAGTTCAGTAAAGCTAGTTACCCGTATGTTTGAAACTCGAGCGTTGCGGTGTATGGGTGTAATGTACACGATTTTAATTTTCATTCCTTGGTACTTTATTTTTGAATAAAATGCTCCACTTGGCCTCGTTTTGGCTATGAATGTTTAGTAATTTGTTATTACCATTACACATTATCATTAATGAAATAATAGTCAGTCAGAGCACGGACATACTAATAAGATAGGTCCATAGTCAGAGGGCTTATTTATGGTAATAATATGTATACTAAGCCTGAAGTTGGCGCTTTTCTACAACGGCCATCTTGGATGGTACACATACATAACTCTGCATTGCTTTGCCATCTTGTCAGCACTCTAGTTGTTTAATAGCTCTATGGTTTTAAATTAGTACAGTAATGTCCTTGTTTCATTCAGCTACCAAATTTTATTCAACAAAAACATGTGATGACTAAACATGGTCATGATGACATCACATCATGACCATATATAGGCACATCATGACTATATATGGGCATACAACAGTTTTTTGTCGAAGACAACTTGATAACTGGACACTGGATACTTAATAAGCCATGGGCTTGACATCAATCTTTGTATCAATATAATAAAATAATATAAGTGGTTCTAAAATAATGAAAAACAAATCTTAGCTCCATATGGCTTTCAAACATTGAATAGGGTCTACAAATTCTGGTTTGTGTACATGATCCCACTATATTATGTAAACTATAACTTGTCTATTACATATACCGATCAATGATCCTAGTGTAATCAATAATTGTAAAATTTAATCTTATACAGTCATTTATTCACCGATTTAGACACACAGGCCAAAGACTGAAAATTAATCCCTCTCTTCTATATATATATATATTCCTATACACAAAAATATTTACAAGACGCTTTAACATAAAACTAAATTTCATTAGGAGGCATTAAGGAAAACAATCTTCTGACTGACAGGAATTGAACCCTAGGACCTTGAAAATGAAAGGCAGGCAACTTAGCCACCAAGCCACATCAACTATACCTAAAAGAGATATAGCCAATTCACTAATAATTTATTATTCATTTTAATGCACATTTTCAAATCAAACAGAAATGCATCAAAGAAATCTACTGAAATACATAAGTTTAATTTATTAACCTGCAGGTTGTCGCTGAGGGTGAAATGAATGGATGTCCATTGGAAAATATAGGTGGCTCTGAATGGTTTCAAGTGAATTCCCGGTGAACTTGTTGGCAGTGTTAATACTCTTGGTATGCCAGTCTGTCCAGTAAATATTGTCTTCAAAGAGTGTGATAGCAAACGGATGAGGCAGCCCTGAAAAATAAAGATACGTAATTAGACGGTATGTTTTTTTTTCTTATGTTACATCTTCAACACTTGTTGTAAAAGTAGAGCGAGGAGTTTGGCAGGCTCCCCCTAGGACCCAGCAACTACAGTGTAGCACCAGTTTAAACATAAGTGATACATGGTCCCTCTTCCTGCCAACCCTCATGTGAGGTTTAGTTCAAGACCAAAAACAAAACGTAAGGCCCCAAAACAGGATTTGAGCACACATTGACTGAACATATCACTCCTACCAAGAATTAAAAACATATACTGTAGTTCCTATGGTCCACGTCCCTCCACACCCATCCCCAAACACCCTTAAACACAAAATCTGGTTGATTATTTTGTTATGTCCATTGAAGGTTTTACCTCTCAAACAGTTCCTTAATTTTTTTCATTTTACCTTCGCTGATTATAGCTTTTCTACGGGAGCCGTCAAGGTTAGCACTCTCAATCACATGATGCTTAGCGTCCACCCAGAATAATTTGTTCGAGGCGTAATCAATCGCTAGTCCATTGGGCCAGAACAATCCTGTGTCGACCACTACAAGTCGGTTGCTGCCATCCATGGCCGCACTTTCAATCTTAGGCTCACTGCCCCAGTCTGTCCAGAAAATTCGCCTGAAATTAAAAAAAAAATTGAATTACAATTTACTGATAAAAATATACACTGGCCTACACTATTCTCTCCACTTATGTCGTATCTATCTAATATGAAATTTACATTTAATTTAATATATATAATTGACTTTTATGATACAGATACTATTATCTATACTCTAGAGAGGATTCAGTTCACAAATTTTATTAAGATATATTATGTATTTGTATTGTATATTGATATACGTTATACTATGTGTATACTTCTGATCTATATTTTAATTTTTTTGTTATATTTATTATTATATATCATATACTATCTGTATATTTAAATACAAAAATGAGACATATAGTATTACACATTGTATATATAAATTGTCATATTATACTTAAATTATAATTATAAATACAGCATATTATATATATTAAATGGAGATATTACATTTATTTTCTGTTAATATATTGTGTATATTTTATATTAATATTATTTTTTTTAAACAAATTTAATGTTTAATTGTTTTTAGAGTTTGAATTTAATTAAATTTAGCTAATTTTCTAATGACTATTTAGTAGGATGAAAATGAATTCCTACCCAACCAATGGATGCGTGGCGATAGCACGTGGTTTTTCCAGCCCCGACCACACAAGTATTGATCGATGAGAGCCATCTAAATTTGAAACCTCAATCCTGGACGTTCCCGAATCGGACCAGTAAAGTTTGCGCCCAATCCAGTCGACAGCAATACCACCTGAGATGAGAAACAATCAGAATTAATCAAAGTCCTAACACATTGTATAAGGAAACTAGCACAATAATAAGCAATTAGGATGCACAGGACACTATAGGAAAATTATTATACGAAGGTTAGATTTAATGCTCGAAAAAATCATTTTCCGCTAGTGTACGATGCATGCTCTACTAATTACTTTATAAGTCAATTGCCGTCTTTTAATATTTGATAACTAACTGTTGTAGCAATTATCGGTTGCTATAGTGATATGATCAGTATGCTGTGTGCGTATTTACATTTAGCTGTGAGTATGCTGATTTGTGCTCCTGCAGTACGCGTTAACTAAACATCAGCAGTACAGTACGGAAACGATGAATAATTATTTTCTAATTTGTATTGTGTTAGAAGAACTTTGTTGTAATGTTTCACATTCGTCAAAGAAGTAAACATTTTTTAAAGCATTCAACTTGAATGCTGCACAATATGCTTTCAGAAAATATGGCAAAATAATTGAATGAAGATAAAGTAGTATAGAATTTTAATATATTTCACAGTTTCTTTCCAAGTTAGTTGAAATATAGCTGCCCCCATACAAAGGTACCTCAATATAGTATACGTGTATAAAATGGGGAAAAACATCAATTAAATACAGCTTAAAATGCCTAAATAAGGTTAAAAACATAATAAACATACACATTTATAAGAGCATGAACAAAATAAAAATGGGTTTGTTTATTGGCCAAAACTGGCTTTAAAAATCCTTTAAATATTTGATAAGTCACTTGCATTCCTGAGCACATACTTATATGATAAGCTTGCTATTATCCACTGCATAATAACTAGCTTATCTCTGTTTTGTCAACTAATCTTTAATTACAACATAAGATGCCATCTTTTGATATACAGTATTAAGTGTGAAGATAGCTCCTTAGAGATACGAGTCAAAAGCCCTCTAGAGGTTGACATGTATCGCTACTGACTTTAGATAAGATGCAAAGCGCAGCAAATGGTTGCAACCCTCAAGGCCCCATTGTAAAGACTGCATAAACTATAATGATATTCTATAAATTTGATCTACCATTACAGTCATTAAAATACTCAAGAGTAACACAGAGATCAGTCTTCAACCGTCGGTTAGTATCTTTGATATGAAGTGAAAACCATTCTCTAAGTAGTACACTATTATACTACTTAAAACACGATTATTATCCACTTTTTCAATTTTAAATGATAGAATGTCAATCATAAAAATCTAATAAATTATTTTATAACATCTCCTACACTCCATTCTATTTTTATGCTCTATTTTTTATTTTACTTTTTTCTGCTTAAAAAAATATTCTTAAATGGTAAAAATATTGAATATCAATTCAACATGTAATGTATTTTTAAATAGTTATCATTAATTATAAGGCCCACATTCTTGAAATCTAATCCTAGAAACAATAAACATCCCGTACTGTCCAGCCATTCATTGGCTATAATTTTTTTTTTTTAACTATGCTTACGAAACCTCATAGAAAAAAAGTGAAAAACATAGAAATAACATGTTTGGAGAAGGGGATATAATAGAAAAAAATTTGAAAAAATTTGAAATAACAGATTTGGAGAAGGGGACATAATATAAAAATATATAAACATAATTGAAATAATTAGTCCGACATTTGATAATGGTTAACTTTCATTTTATTATGTAAACTAAACACAATGTAAACTAAGCACAAAATATATTACATTGCATTATAATCTAATAACAGATACATAGAATATGTTTTTAAAAACGGGAATGAATGTAATAAAGGTTGACAAATCAAATTTGGCCTCCCTCTTATTCAATTTTACATTCATTGCTTGATAAATTATTTAGAGTATTACTAACCTGGACTCTCCAGACCCGATATCACCACATCCATGATATGTGTGCCATCCAATGAAGCCCTCTTAATTATGTCTAATGTAACATCTGACCAGAACACCAGGTTCTCCCCAATGTGATACCCTAATGCAATAGCATTATCCAATCCTTTTAAAATGGATACGTACTTCGAGCGCTCGGGTTCAATCCGGCGTATGTCAATCCGATTAGTGAACAGTAAATACGGCTCCGGACCTAAAGAGTGTAGACATCTTATTAGTTATTGATAGAAGTTTAATCAGGTGTATGTATATAGGGGTGCGCACGTCCCAAAAATAAAGTCCGCAAAAAAAAAAGATTATGCTCAATAGTTAAAAAATAATTTTATATCACCTTATTTTTAACTGATCCCCCACTTCACATTTGTTCCCCCCCCCACCCCCTCCCATTTCAAGACTCCAAGATGCACAACTGAGTACAAATATACCTTTCTGGTGTGTAAATCATGCTTACCTAATGACCAATCAAATCATGTCAGGATTACAAGCATGTCTCACAAACATGGAAAGTTCAAACATTCACCCCGTAGTACCGTAGCATTATCTTTAGCAGAAAGGTTCATTAATGTATATATAACGTAATAATGCTCAGAACAAGGATCCAATACTGCTAAATTGCTGTACATTCCTAAAAGATTTACAATATTGAATATAAAACATTTTATGCAAATGCATTTTATAATGTTTTTTTTTACCTTTTGCTTTACATGTTTTACCATCGGGTCTCAGTTCATACCCATCTACGCAAGAACAAATAAACGATCCGTCTGTGTTGGTACATTTCTGGCTACAAGTACCGTCATTCAGGCATTCATTGATGTCTGAAGAAAAACAAAAATGTTAATTAATTCATTATACCAATATTTTAATATCCTGAATTTGACAATAAAAATTAATGATTATCAATCTCATTCTATAGAACATACCTTAATTGTTGTGTATATATATATATATATATAT